GAAAAGCTGGCCTAGATGGGTCAGTGTAGACTAGGCCTGTCAGTGATTCCTGGCCATGATGGCTCAATAAAATTGCCATACTCCAAGGCAGCTACCAGTGGCCAGAGGGCAACCAGGGGTGAGAGGGCTTTTACCTTCGAGCTATGCCTGTGGGCTGCCTAGGGGCTTGTAACTGGCCACTATGGGATACAGGATGCTGGAAGAGATGGGCCTTGACCTGATGCAACAGGGTACCTCATACTTTCTTATGACCTTCTTGCGATATGTTGACCTCCAGCTGTGGCCTTGACCACAGTTTTCTTTGTTAGAAAGCCTGCCTTCATTCTAAGTGTAGCCTGAGCTTACCTCAATGGCAAGAAGAACAACAACAGAAATGCAGTCTAACAGAGGGAAATAAATAGCCCTATATAATGGTTGTAGTGATGGAATGACACAATATCCCATTTCTAGGTAGAATTCCTATCCTCTTATGGGTAACATTTTCCTCAGACCACATCATTAGCTGCCACTGCTGGGGGTGTGGAAACGCATAATATCCAATGCAGGAACATGGGGAAGAGCATGACCTGGGACAAAAACAAGTGAAGAACAATATAGACAGAGGTGATGGTTTAAAAAGATGGCTTGTCCCCCTCAGAACCTTCCAGAAACCTTCACTTACTAGGCAGTGTAGAAACTTAATAAATGCATTAATAAGTGTCGACTGTAATTCTGCAGCAAACCTGTCCAAATTTTACATCAGCCTTTCCCAATCTGGATTCCTTCACGTTTTGGACTTCAACTCCCATCAACCCCAACCAACATGGCCAATGGGCAGGAATGTTGGGTGTTGTAGCCAAAACATCTGGAGGTACCATGCTGGGCAATGTGGCCTCTCTGGCAGGTGTTGAGTAAGGAGTGAAATTGCTTTAGGCCACAGTGCCTTCAAGTTGTTTTGGACTACAACTGCCAGCGTTATTGGCCATGCCAGCTGGGACTGATTGGTATTGAAGCCCAGAATGTTTGGAGGATGTTAAACTGGGGAAGCTGGAGCAGGGGGCTGAATCAAATGACCTCCAGACTTTCAGCTCCAAAATGCAATTATGCAGATAGTCTAAAGGCCAGACATTTCCTTTTGACCATAAATGATTTGGGAGTTATTGAATGAATGGTAGCAAATATGCTTAAACTTATGGTCTCATAACTGGAAAGGTGTTATTTTTAAAATGTCTGTTTGTTCTCCAGAAATAAATCCCAGAACTTTCAGCATTCCCCAACCAGCCATGCGGGCTATAGAGTGCCAGGCATTATAACATTTCTTTCTGCTTAAACATGCATAGGATCGCACCCAAAAAGTTATGAACCTGATCAGGTGAGAGTAGAAGGGGAAGACAGAATGCTGGCATAAGGAAGCTCCAAGACGCAGCCTCATTATTCTCTTTTTCGTTTCCAGTAGCAGCATTAAAATGACTCAGGTTTATTGCTACTACTTTGTACACAGATGATGGCCACTACAACAAGGGTTGGGGTTTTTTTTGGTAATCCCTAAATGGTCTAGACCCCGCCTCTCCTTCACTGGCTTCCATCCCACAGTGTCAAGATCTATTAGAACACCTTCACTATAAAAAGACCCCAAGCTGCTTGGAACTCTCTCAGCTTAGAATCTGGATCCTTTCACTCTGGATTAATTCACTTTCCAGGTAAAGGGTAATACTAACCTTTTCGCGGGATGGTCAGCAGAGGGGCAAGTGAATGAGCCAAGACAGAAGGGATGCAATGAGTATGTTAAACTTCATGTTTATTTTTAATATGTCTCTTGAATAAGGGGCATGACAGGTGGTTGCTAGGGCAAGCAAGATGTGTAGCAGACCAGAAGCGTATTGCTCACAGCAGCGAGCTTAAGTTTGAAGGGGAGATACTTCAGAGTCTGAAGGAGGCATGAACCGTAAGATTTATAGGGAACAGAGGCGTCTCAGCAGTGGGATCCAGGACTATGGACAAAGCAAACAAGTGCGGAAATGGCCATACGAGGACTCTAAAGATGAGAGGAGGGACACAAAGGAACTGTATTCAGGATTCATGAGCCTATGAGCTATGGGTGCCATGCTCCATCTATCGCCTTTTAAATGCAGTCCTGAGGCAGCCTCCACCAAACCCGTGCCCTTCAGAGCTGCTGGGCTGCAGCTCGGTCGTTGTAGTCCAGCGCATCTGGAAGGTGCCAAACTGGGGAAGGCTGGCTTAAGCGGGTCTTGCTCATTTCTGTGGGGCTTGCCCAGAGGAACATTTCCAGCGAACGTGGCAGGCTTCCCTAGAACATTGCACCACTTGCCCTCATTGGTTTGAGATGCTGCACTGGTAGCCAGGGAAAGCAGGAAGGTGGTTTCTCAACTAGCCCATTTATCCGTAGCATAGCAGTCTTGGCCAAGGGTTTTTCAGTTCTTGCTGTAGCCAAAGGAGGAAGTTCCTCCCATCTACCCTTTGGATAAAGGAATGTAGGAATCTGCTTTTTACTGAAACAGAGAATTGGTCTATCAAGTCCACTTCTGTTAACACTGACTGGCAGCAATTGCTCTCCAGGCAGGATCCCTTCCTAGCTCTTCCTGGAGATACCAAGGGTTGAATGTGGGACCTTCTTCATGCAAAACACCTGCTCCACTACTGAGCTACATTTTAAGGTTCTCCTGAGCAGAACTGTTAATAACTCTAACAAACTCTTTTGCAGCCTTTGGTTTCAAGAAAGGACATATATAACATTACAAAAATGCCAAAAGAAAATGTGTTTCAGTCTAGATAATGATTTGACTACTAAGGAATCTAGGAAAGTATGGAAGCTTCTTTGATTTATTGCATCAGAGGGAAAGTCTTGCTAATACACTGTTTTGGGGCACTTAAAAGATTAATAAACTTTATTGTGCAACATCTATGTGCAACAACATTGAGGACATCTAGTGGTCACCATATAAAATAAATTCAAGATGTTTGGATGTTTTAAAAATGGGGGCAGGGAGCCGCATGGGGATTATCAGTACAATCATGGAGTACAAGGTACTCACTAGAGGACAGTCTAACAAATGCAATTTAAGAAGGACTTCAACATGCTCATGAATAATTTCAGAAAAAAACTAAACATATCATTCTGAACTATTAGGTGAAGGAATCTTGCTCTCGCTGTCTTTTTGGCAAAAGGCTGTCCAGAAGGCAGATGGGCTCCTTCTTGCTCCACAACATTGCAGAATTCCCTGCAAAATGCTTCCCCACCTCTCCACCACCACCATTATCACTATTCCAAAGAGTTTAAAAGATGCCTCATGTAATTTCTTGGAAATCTTAGTTCTGGACTTAATATATGCTTGCTACTTTTGTTTTGCCATTCAAGTGAACCGTGCTTTCACAGGAGGGAGGGCTGCCTGCACAGAAAGGCTGGTTCTGGTTGGAGGTAGAGGGGAAAGGGTCTGATCAAGCATTCTTCTCTAGCAGCCTCACAAAATCCGGTGGCCTCCTGTTGTGTTGGACAGCAACTCCTGTGTTTCTCAGCAACGTGGCAGCATCAAGCCTTGAGCTTAAGCACAAGCACATCTCACTCTTAAGATGTCAGTGAAATAAACGCAGCAATATTGCCAACTTCTGCTTCTCCACCATTCTTGCTGCTACTGGTTCTCATGGCCAAGGCAGACATGAAATTAAATTTACACCTTTGCACTTCACATCAGGCTTTTAAAAATGCAAACAACATCAGCTGGGCATGCGCATGATAATTATAGCCTTCACAGCAGGAATGAATGTGTTATTTAAACCCTTTCTGAAGATGATGTTTGCTGTTTGGGACCCGGACACACCCTGGCCAACGTCAGTGGAACATTTCCTATGAAACTGGCAAAGACTAGTCTCATCGGAAAGGTTTTCCTCAGGACCACAACAGCGGACAAAAAGGTTCAATTTTCCTTTGGCACCTGTTGTGATCAAATAATGATCAACCCCTCAGCTGATGCTGTTTGCACTTTGAAAGCCTGAACTTTAAAAGCAGAGACACATTGACTGTCACACGTAATCTGGCCCTCATACTTCTAGACAAGGCACAGACTCTGAGCCTGTTGTTGAGTTTCCTCTTCTTCCTCCTCCTCCTCCTCCTCATCATCATAATCACATGCCCTACATGTCAGATGAACGCTCTGGTGAACATGGGTGCATTTCAAATCTACAAAATTGCATAGGGGTGGAGGTGAGAAGGTTCTGATCTGACAGTTTTCTCTTTGTAACTCACCCTTCAAGTGCTAATTAACATTTGAATTCTTTTTGGCTGTAGAAACAAAGTTTATTTCCCCTTGATATAATTTTCATGCCCATACAAATACAGAAATGCAGAAAAACATTTTAAGAACTAATATGACACTGCAGTATATGAGCGCAAGCAGCAAAAGTCCAATGTATGTGCAGAGAGTAAGAGGAAATTTTCAACGAAAGAGCTAGTACAAGGAACACAATAGAGCTTGTCTTGGAAAGTTACCAGGGGCAAGTGATATTCTGAACAAAATTAAGTCACCAGGCAGAACCTATAAAGTCCATCGTGTCTTAGAAGAGCACAAAATTTTTCTACTGTAATTCAAGGCAATTATTTCCTAGACTGTCTTTTTGACAGCAGGATGTCAAGCTACCCTGCTCAACGTGGGGTTACAGTATCTTTTAGACTGCCCACTGTGGAGTTCAAATCCTGACTCATAATCACTGAGATAATATGAAGCCATGTGAGCTACGCTGAACTCTTCGGAGGAAAAGCAAAGCCACAGAGTTCATAGAGAATATCATAGGATTGGTCTGTCATCAGGGATGGAAAGACCTTCGCTCTGCTTCTTACCTAGAGCTCAAAGTTTGTGTTTTAAAAATGTGCCATATTCTCAGTGTCAGTATCTGCATTTTCCACATGGGGTAAATGAAGGAGGATGCCAGAGAGTGGAATGATAAAGCCTCCTTTAAATAGACAGAATACCTCATGGTTTGGCTCTTCCTTCTGCAGCATTCCTGTAATGATTTCCACACAGCACCACTTGTACCCCAAAGCAGATCAGACAATAATGGAAGAGAAAGAACTGGCTGAAGAGGAAGAGGAGTTTGCAGACAGCCATGACTGTTCTTCAGCATCTGCCTCAGGTTGCTTTTTGATTCACACTCTCTCTGTGTGAAACACCCCCCTCCCCCACAGGTTCTTTCTAAAACATTTGCTACTTAATAGCCCAACTTTATCAGTTCCTAGGTATAAAAAAGCAGTTTTGTGGTTGCATGTGTCCAACTGTAAAATCGGCTTTCTTTCATTTTTAAAATCATTACAGCCTGTTAATGTATTGTGTTAGTCGCGGCCCCATCCAAGGCCTGCTTACTCTGTAAAGCAGCTCACAAGATCTTCCTACTTTACCCCCTTATCTTGGAGTAAATCACACTGACCCTAATGCAATGCATTTCTGAAAAGAGTTGTATAGTATTGCACTATTGAGCACTTCCCCTGGAATCAGCCCCCTGGGGCTGAATCTGGTAAGGGACCCGTCCTTGAAAAAGGCAAAAACCCACTGGAAGAGAGTGTTTGCATGTGTGCATGGGAGCAAACCCAACAGCAGGGCTGGGCAAAGCAGTTCCTGCCACCCCCACACAGGCACCACAGGAATGAAAATTAATGTTGACCGCAAGCCATTCTAGAGGCCGTTCTTCCACCACCGCATATTCCTGACTAGACTTAGGATAAGATTTGTTTTGCTAATAGTGCAGCAGTAGCAAGTGAAGGAATGCAGCACCCCTAAAGCTGCCCACCCTTGCTCGTCATAAGCTCTATTTGTTGGAATCTGGGGAATGTGCAGACACTAATGAAAACTTCCAGGAAATGGTTTTTTGTACATATGAAAGCGCTCAGTTGTGTTGTACGTGCTAGTAAGATTCTCTTACATTTCCTCCATGTCTTTTGATCTTTCCCTGCTCAGGGCCACCTGTGTTTCAAATACTGCAGAAATGGGTTCCAGCAGCCTCTCACTATTTTGACAAAGACCATTATTCTTATGCTGGCCATCAGATCACCATTCAAGAGTCCATTGAACACTTTGGAGCTGTAGTATGGCCTGGTGTAAGTTTTACACAGGGGAAAATAACTCCCACCTAACAAGTATGCTTCTCTAACACATGAAGCATTGAAGCATTTCATTAGCTTTGATGCCTTCTTTTCTTCCTCAGTATTTCTTTCCCTATCTCCTCAGTACATCAGAGGCATAAGGAGCACCTGTTTCATTTTCCACCTGATAACTGGGTATGTTAACTGAGTAAGGCGTATTCTATGACCCAATCCAGTAGCCTCCGAACGATTTGAACTTCAGCTCCTATCAGCCCCAGCCAGCAAGGACAAAAAATAAGAAAGTTGGGTGCTGTGGTCTCAAATATCTGGAGGACTCAAGGTTGGGGAAGGCAGCTATACAATGGTGGCTCCACTGGCCTTTTAAAAGCTGAAGCATCCGCAGTGTCCCTAAAAGCAGTGCCCTTGTGTAAGTCATAACTTCTGATACCATAGAAATCAATGAAGGGGTAGCCTTCCAGTCAAGGTCAGCCTTTGTGAAGTCAGATGCTGAGCCTGATGCTTTGCTGCCCTTTAATTAATATTAAATATATCCATCTTTGTAAAACAATGGTAATTAAAATAATTTGAAAGGCAACAACACACAATCTCTCCAGTACTGTGGAAAGCCAACTGAAATTCCATTTGGAGGTTATAGTGAAAAAGCAATGATTTATCATTTCAATGAATGCTGGTTCATCTAGAAGCAGGTTAGATTCTCTAACATAATTTTTTCAGAATTTTAGCATATCTTGGATTGGGGTAGATCAGAAACTACTGGTAGATCCTGGGGTGATTCGCAATGGATTAATAAAGGTTTGACTTCCAGCAGCTCAGCAACAAAGCAGCTCACCTCCAACTTCCAACAATTCTTGTGGTGTGGTACTGGAAACACCTATTTTGCCTGACTCTGTGCTTAGAGACATTCTGGCCCTTAATTCTGAGCGGAGGCAAGAACTCCTTTCGTACCTGGTTCTAATTGTGGATCTTGAGCTTCTAATAAAAATGCTTACCAAGAGATTTGTCAAACCCAGCATCAGCAAACGTGTATAGCATAGATATACTATAGCAAAATAGGAACAATCCAATTCACTCTTCATGGAAGAATGAGATACTCGTTTCTAAAATAACTTTTTTACTCTAAAATATTAAAACAGTGTCTATACCACTGTATACATTACATCCTCTATGGCTTCACATTGCTGGTCTGCATTGCCTTGGGTTATCTCATTTCTTCCAATGCATAGATGTTTTTGCTTTGCCATAGCTCTTTTGTTTGGAAGGCAGAGTGGCTTTGTCACGTTCCACTGAAATTACTTTTAAAGAAATGTACATTCTCACAAAGTAATGAAATGTGTAGATAATTTGTTTTTGTAAAAATCAGCTGACTCAAACAAGTATCATCATAGGACCTATGCTATTTATTTTAGGCCCTTGCTTTGTGTCAATACTTGGAATCAGATCAGCAAGAAATCAACCTGAAAGATAAGAAAGTAATTGAAATTGGAGCTGGAACTGGGCTGGTGACCATTGTGGCAAGTATACTAGGTTGGTAATTTGTGACTTCTTCCAGGGTGTTGAAAATGCCTACTGTGTCTATGGTATCTTCACTCACACTTTACATGCATATATGCACAATTTATGTTTCAATACTCAGGACAATACCCTCTTCCAGATACGTTTACCCCACTTAAATATTTTAAGGGACATTCTGGGCCCATCTCTGTAAATCTCCTTCAGGAAAGTACATGATATGATATGACATGCTATGTCTGAATAGGTCAAGTGTCATCAACATTCTGAGCTGCTGAGGTTAATTAGGAGCACTGATTTATGATCAACTGAAACTAATGGTTGCAGGGGTTGCAAACACTAACCACTCCTACAAGCCACATTTTGACGTATTTGGAAAATACACATTTTTGGTCTGAAAAATGGTTTGCATTGTGGTTTCCTGTGGATACTCCATTCACCTGTCTAACTATACCAAGTACAACAGAATACAAGTTTTTTTATTTTCAGTGTTCAATTGACAAAGGCTGCATTTATTGACCACCAGGTGTTACCCAAACAAAAACTTAGTTTGCTATGCTTAAATGATTGATGAATGGTACTCAGATACAAAACTGCCAGCTGCCCTCACTTGCATTAAATACATGTTAGAAGGTTCAGTGTGAAGAGAGCCATTCTCTTATGCGGATTACAAACAAGTGATTGCCTCAGCTAGAGGCATTCTGCAGAATTTCATCCAGCAGTTATCGTGTGTGTTCCTACAAAGAATACTTGGGGAAAGCCTCCTTGCAAATGGGCAGAGGTAAGACATGCTGCTGAAGCAGACCATAAAACAAACATTGTTCCATTCTCTTTCAGGTGCCTTTGTTACAGCTACTGACTTGCCTGAGGTTCTTGAAAATATGGCATTCAATATTTCAAAAAACACATGCAATGTGGATGTTCACAAGCCTGAAGTAAGAAAGCTGGTTTGGGGGGAGAATCTCAATGAAGATTTCCCTAAATCAACTCACCGTTACGATTTTGTTGTGGCTACTGACGTTGTGTATCATCACACAGCTCTGGATCCTCTGCTAGACACAATGACCTACTTATGTCAGCCTGGTACAATCTTGCTATGGGCAAACAAATTCAGATTCAGCACTGATTATGAATTTTTGAACAGAATCAGCAACATTTTCAATGTCACACAACTAGCAGATTTTCCAGAGCCCAATGTTAAGTTGTTCAAAGGCACAATAAGAGAGAATTAAATGCTGGAGACATTTCCAGAATCCCTATTCAATTGTAGCAGTCTAAGTGTTTACAGAGAAGCCATTTTTAACAGCCTCCACTTCACTAAGGCCTGGCTCATTCAATACAGAAGCCTCAACGCTATCCTCTTGACTTTGAGGAGGTGGGGGGTAGGAAGTAACACAGAAACGGTTAGTTATCCCCACCTTCCCCAAAGTAAGGACGTTGCATGTTTGTGCAATAGGTACCAAATTAGTACATGCTAGGAGTGAATGGTTTCCTTTGCCCATGTCATTCCCAGTCCCCAGATGATTAGCAAGATATACACACCTAACTGCATCCTTCTGTGCCTAGCTACATTCTGTTATGCCTCCACCCTCTGGACGGTTCTTTTCAAGCTGGTTGGACTCAGGCTTGAAACTTGAGCTCCACTGTTATGGCTGTAGCTGCATCCTGTAGCTAACAAGAGGGAGAGGACCACATGTATTCTTGAAGAAGTCTCCATTTGAGTGAAGATGTGAAACTCATTAACATGACCTGAGAGTTGTGGAACTGGGGAAACTGCAACATTTCATATTAGAAGTACGTGAATATTTTCACAGAACTACATGGATAAACTAATTCCAGATAATTGGATACTATTATCTGTGGAGAGATAAATAAGGAGCCTGTAGCTATAGCTACTAGATGAATAATATATAATAACACATGCAACTTACACAAGATGATTTTCCTATACCTGTGATCATCTGTATGATATAAATCTATTGAAGAAGCTTTTAAAGTCACTATTGAACTGTTCATAAGCAGGCTTCTGAAAAACTACCATATGAAATACAGGCACAGACCATTATCATTTGCAACAGTGCTAAAAGCATCTAACCTTTTCTCAGCCTTAGTATTTGCACTGATTTTTCTCCGTTTGCTGTAAAATTAACAATAAATTCCTAATGACTTTCCCTTTGTGTACTTGTGAAAAGTTAGAAGCCCCAAAGTCATTGTTTTATTTTAACAAAATTAAACCATGAATGCTTAGTTTTTGATACTGAAATTTGCACATTTATTTTGCAGTTTTACATTTTTCAAACATTATTAACATATATGTATAAGTTTTACAATACCTGATTGTTAACTGACTGACAATTTATAGATGTTATCAGTTTATCCTGATACTCTGTATCACATGGATATTTAAGAGTATCTTCAAGTTGAAGATATTCAAGAGCACCTTTGCACCAGCAATTCAGAATATATTTGCAATGAGTGTGAAAGTGTTGTTTTTAAAAAATTTAAAATGTAAACTCTTGTGGGTGATACTGATAATTAAATTCCATTACTGTTAAATCTAATAAATAATGTTTTAGCTACTCTTGATGTAGCTTCATCTTTTTAAGGCTTTCATACAATTGAGAACTTATGTTTGAACATGTTAAAACCCTGCTCATTGTAAAAAGAAGAGCTTGTACAGGCTTGTGGTTAAAATTACAAACAGTTAAGAACCACATACACATGCAAGAAACTTTCCCAACTTCCTAATCCTTGTGCTGGCCATTCTGAAACATCCATTGCCAGCAATGTGATGTATGCTTAAGCTTTTGTTCGTATGTTTTCATTCCTAGGGCAACCAGGGGCTACCACAAGAATCTCAAGCTAAAAGACTCCTCAATGACAGGAGCCAGGCTAGCACACATACACATTGCAATTCCATGTCCTCAGATTAATACACACAATTTAAGCATTCAATAAAGGATGAAAACATGCATTCCAGTAAGATCACATTTGTATATCAGGTCAATGTAACAAGATCTCAAATTTACAACTGCAGGATTTTTTTAAAACACACAATAATCAGGTGGATACATGATAGGAAGCCAGTTTTTAGTGAAAGATGCACAGTGAGTCCATCCAAGTAACCTCATTAGCTAACAAAAGAAAAAAGAAAATATTAAAGGCAAGATGTAAATTTTTGTTCACTTCTACATCTTGTGTTATTAACCCAAACCAACTAAAAAGTAGAAATTTAATGCTCTACTGAATTTTTAATGAACAGCAGAAATAAATATTTAACTTGCATCCATCACAGTCACTGCAGTTTCTGGAGCTCTAATCTATTAATAAATTATGCTCTTATAGTTCCTAAGCTGTCAGTGAAGTTTGCATACATCTTTAAGTTAACTGGAGACACAATGATGATCACTTACCTGTATGCAGGTCTTCAAATTTTCTTTGGTGGGCTTCTCCTCTGCAAGTTTGGTTGCAAATTTGAGACCTCTGCCATACATTTTATTTACCAGTGCATGTTTATAGGCAAACAGTAAAACCTATGCAAATAAAAATAAAAAAGGCGAGTTTTGTAAGTTGAATGTGCACCTTTGGGCTGCGAGAGTTACCTGCCCGAATTTTCTTTTGGACATGACAGCAACAATGCAAGAACTGTAAGCGCAAGACACTATTATATTTGGGTGGAGGAATAACTGAAGCTGCTCTAAGCTTATCCATGAACAGTATTAAATCAAGCTTTAGCAGCTACTGGATTCCTTCTAGCTGAATTATTCTAAATACCTTATAAAGCTGCACTTAGATTCAAAGACTCTTAAGAACATATGTGATGATATAGTTACAAGCTGCATAGCACAGACACATGATTTTCCCTCAAAATAATGCACAGCAGCTGTATGCCAAGGACAAACAGAAGAACGCCAGTCATCATGCCCTACTTTCAGACTTACTTTCTGCCACCAGACCTCCACTTGATCTGACGCAGCCAGGTGCTTATGTCCAGACATATGTTTAAGATTCTAAAATCAGACTAGCAATACGGAATATTTGACTGAATGCTTTCAGGATCTACATTACAAAAAATTTAAAAATTGTATAAGACTAGTATTTTAGATCAGGAACCAATGTAAATATAGGTTTGGATGCCAACTCTCAGCATTCCTGATCACTAGCTATGCCAGTAGTGTCTTCTGAGAGCTGAAATCTAAAACACCTGGACATCGAGACACACCTATGCCTGCCTCAGGGTGTGCCCAAGCTAATACTGGTTACATTTCATGTTTACTCATTTTATTTATGCTAGGAGTCATCATCCAGTGTTCTTCCTTCCCTTGAAGTAATGCTGAATTGGCATTAACTGTTTCCAAACAAGAAAAAAATAGGGGGTGAAGACTGATTGATGACTAGGTTTTGCTTCTGCCAGTAAGTTTAACAATTTGACTGATGAGAGTAGGTGAAATAGCAAAATTCAGATAAAAAATGAAAGACTTCAGTACCAGAGAAAGAATAAGAGGGAGAATTTAAGATTTATTTTCTCAGATGATTGCTGACTACATGTTATAAAAGATTTCAAAGCCTATTTTAAGATCCTATTATGTGGGTAAATATATTTGCATTGTTTCGGTGTAAATCACTGGTTTACTCCTGGGCTGAGACCAGATAAAAATCTGATTTGTATGAGCAACAAACTAAGGATGATTCCTCCCTTTAGCTGTATGAACCTAATTCTGCTCTCCCAACCGACTCACGCACCTTGCTGTCAAACAGGTCCGTCCATTTTGTTGCTTCCCAGAATGTTTCTGTCAGAGCATCTAGTGCACTCTCTTGGATTTCATCTTTACATTCTTCATCACTTGACACAGCCCCTTCCTGGGCCTGCAACTGCAAAAGCTGATCAGCCAGTGCACACCCTTTCCGACAAAGAGCATCTACCAGGGTGGATTTCTGTTTGTCCATCTCACTAAGTCAGAGACAAAGGAGAGGGTCATGCATTTATAGTAAAACACGGCAGTTTTCTAAATCGTCATTTGTCATGTGTGCATGCACTTTTACAATTATTCCCCAATATTTATTTATAGTTACAAATAAACACACAGTTTCTGTTTGGAAGCACACTGCATTACAAACAAACTCCAAATATTTCCAAAGAAGCTGGCCACTTCTCACTATCTTAGGATGAACCATAGTGCAGACATCATGGCTCTTACCAGAACTTCCCCATGGGGCTGGGTCAATGAAGCAACCACCAGCAAGGGCTTGCCAATGAGAGCTCAGGAAGGGAGATCTTCTCAACCTTTTGGTCATGCCCCTACTTGTAGGATACTGCAAACTATTATCTCTTGAACAGTGCGGGTGAGCAGAAATACTTTTATTTTAGCTTGCATTCTGAAATCTGAGAAAATCAAGTACTTCCAACTACAACATTGGTTCCCACCTCACAAATTACTGGGTCTGTGTGCTACAATACAAAAGCACACAGACACCTGTTCTTACTCTTGCCATCCCAGTAAATTAGGAAGTTTCAACATCCTGTAGCAATAGTTTAAAAGATGCCTCATGTAATTTCTTGGAAATCTTAGTTCTGAACTTAATATATGCTTGCTACTTTTGTTTTGCCATTCAAGTAGAGAAATATTAGTGCAATAGTATAGCTAGCCAAACTTGCACATTTTCATAAATTGACATTTATAAATACACATCAACTGATAATTATCATTTTTAGATAGAGAGGCATGTGACATTGCACAAGTGCCGCTAACAAAATGACACAAAACACATCAACTCATAGCAATTGTGCACTTTTTCAGAAGAACAAATTTAAATTGTGGGTAATATACACTTATGGTTTCCTTGGAGAACACTTGTACACAACCATTATTTCAACTGGTTCCAAATGTGCAAATATGCATAGTACTACATGCCCACTATCTGATGATTATTATTGTATTAGTCCAGAAGTGGCACGAATTGTGCTTTAATTAAAAGGTGTGCTATGCTACCATACTGCTTTCACTCTTCCATCAAACCCAACCGCACCCACTGCAGTCCAATGTTTGGTTAGAAGGTGTGAACTGAAGTATTGTCTCTAGCCACAATCCAGCACACCGTTAAATGTGCTTCACTAACTATAATGACTTAAATACATTCATTCCGTGTTGCTTTGTAGCCAATGTGTTATTCTATCTGAAATATGAAAATTAATTTTAAGCTCCAAGAGAAGACAATTTTAGGGCAGGCTGCTGAAATAAAATGCAAGAAAAAAGTATTTACTGGTTAGGTACTTTTTTATAGTAGCAGCATCAGGCCTGGGATCGGTCTTCATGGCAAGGTAAATTGCAAGAGCAGTTTGATCAATATGAGAGATGACGATATTGGCAGCCTCAATAACTTCATTCAATCTTTTCATTCGTTCCTGGTTGGAACAAACACAGCATGACATTGTCTTATCACACACAGAAAAGGACTGTCATGTAATAACAAGCTAATGCATACATTCATTTGACCTCTTTGATGTGCTAGTATTCTCCTATATATTGGGGTAAAAACACAGCTCCAGGCTCAGAATCCAGTAGGGTAATTGTGCCCCCAATCCTTTCCACCCTTCTCATTCCCCTCCACAAGCGGTAGGTTTTGCTGGTTCTGGGACCAACAGCTCACATACAGGAGATTTCGTGCTTCCTAGGAAGAAGGCCCTAAATGAGTAGAAATGTTTGTTTCAGGTTATCCGGGAAGTGCTAAAGTACCAGTGCACAAGTGGCAGGGACTGTTTCTGGAATGGAATTACCAGAACCTAAGTGAGACCCAGAATACAATATAAGCCTTTCCTGTACGTATTTAAGTCCAGACTGCTCAGAGCACTAAGTTCAAAGGAGATATCTGATTCAGTAAGCCTAAGACTAAATGACTTGCTTTTTGAAAATGGATTGTACCTTTTCTGAATCCAACTGATGAAGTCTTGCAACATACAAGGGGAGATGATTAGGGAAAGCCTCTTTCAATTCATTATACATATCACTTGTGTCAAGCCTAAAGAGAAAATATGTCAATGAATGTGCTGATCTAACAGATCCTTATTTTAACATATCACTGCTTTCAAGCATGCATTTAACATTAGGAGAAATGCTGAACATACTTAGTCATCCATTGTATCTTCAGGTCTCTTAAAGCTTCAGCAAATTCATCCTTTGCATCTTTTTCTTTTTCTGGATCCTTTTCCTTCTCCTTGCTGCCATTCTTATTTTTTATTGGGGATGGGATCAGATGATAGTGAACTGCAATTATATCCTGGGGATAGGAGGATATAATTAGTGACTTGGTCAAAGGCCACAACAGTCTTCCTTTTCTTATAGGACAAACAAACAATCTGCAGCAATTACAGGTGCTGTTATAAAGGCTTTCAGTCCCTTCTGAAGCTTCAGAGCAAAAGATGAGCTTTTAGTCCAATGATAAAATAATTCAAATGATCAGATACCTTCCTCTCAATTTTGATCTAAAGACATTTCAGACAGAAGACTTCCACATAAATTGCACAAGAGACTTCAGTACACTTGCTTAAGATTTGCTTTATCTTACTTAATCTGTGGATCTCATGCACCTATCTTTGTAACTCCCCTTGCCCCTGAAAAAAATGCACCAGACGCAGCTACCTAACAGAACAAAATCATACAAATCCGCAGTAGCATTAACACAGAGGAAAAAATCCCTATTTTAGAAAAGCCTATACACTTTTATCACAGGCTTCTACAATCATAGCTCACCATAGCAATTAAAATGATGCTGCATACCCGCTTGATGCGCTTGTACAAGTGGGATCCAGTGCTTGCACAACAGAAAGCTAGCAGTTCAAAAAGCAACCTTGGAAATTCTTGTTTCTGGACTGGGGACAAATCACTGGACCTTCATCTGCAAATTCTGCTAATGTATCCTCTTTTGGAAGTAAGTTTCCTGCTTGTTTCCAGGCTCTTCCTGAACCCATTTATGTTACAAATAGCTACGATTATGGAAGACGATACAGACTGACTCAAGGGTTAAACAGAATTTTTAGAACACTTTTATTCAGACAGAGGGCAGTTCAATCCAATCCAATTTATTCACTCTTCTCACATTTAAGCACTCTGTCTATTACAGCCACAGAATTTACTGACCAGCTAGATCATACACTTAGAAGCAGGAGATGTTCCAGTCTACTATGGAGTTAGGAGCATCTTAAATACGGGTCTTTCCTAAGTCTGCCTGATATGCAAAAATACACCTGCCGACTCTATGGCCTGGTTGTACACAGACTGGGTTTATTTTATCGAAGCTAAAGGACATCGTCTTCAGCAGTCTTGACTAGAAGTGCATGAGAGATCCAGTTAGGTGGGGGTGGGGTGGAGGGATCCATTGGACTTCTTTGGCCCAGCTCTCTGGACTCCAACCTGCTTTCTTTCTGAGTCCACCTTGGGGTAAATGCTTGCACATGCATCTGGCAGGAAGGGAGACTAAGTGAGTTTGCAAAGCCACCTCCTGTGCATCCTTTGTGCAAGTGGAGTCCTGACTTTCACGCTTTGCACAAAGAACTGCATATTTGTGTATTTTGTGCAAACAAGGGGTTTGGCTAGCATTCCTGGCCTTGATCTTGGCTTGGTTCACCTCCTGGCCAGGGCCAAGCATAGGAAAGAAGTCCTGTAAGCACAAGAGAGAAATTCCAGCCAGATCTTAACAACCCTAGTCTTGAGCACTACTTCAGCATACCTTTGTCTAAGTTTCCAGGTTTATCTTTGATCAATTGTTTTCCTCTTCCTGAGTCTGCTGACCCATTGCATCTTCTTTATGTTTCCAAGTCAGCTTTACAAAACACACATCTTGTTCTTCCCAGTTCTTTGGGAAAAGTTAATTGACCACTACTGGTTTTGCACATTTCTTCTGCTAACTTTCCTTCACTAAGAACGCAAAAACCCATTCACTGAATAAAGTGGGCCATAAATGCAACACTAGCTTCCTGTTTTACTAGCAGTGGGTCTCACTAGCACATGAAGATTAGATAATGCCCAGTTATACCCCAACATAGTGAAAAGTCTTGTTAAACAACACAATGTCTACTTGATATTGTTGCAAAGGATAAGACAGGTGTTCACCACTCTTTTCAGAAACACCATCCTGTAATTTGTGAGTATAGTAGTATTTTGGAGCTCAGATACCATCCCTGTGTACTGGCATCCCTATCCTATAAATAGTATTTTAGTTTTTTAAACATTAAATTGAAATCATTATCAAAACAATTTCATTTTAAAAAACCAAATAAAAAGGCTGAGACACAACTGTGTGTGTCTATATTATTATCATTACACTTTTATACCGCCCCATAGTGATTCGGGCTCTCTGGGTAGTTTACAGATTTAAAAATACACAATGGAATGACAAAATCAGGTATCTTCGATAAGACTGCTACAAGGATTAGCTCCTCACTACAATACAATACAGGACACTGTGCCAGCCCTGTCAACAGACCAGGACTTTCTACTGAACTCCAGTCTGGTTCACAAAGTACCCCAGAAAGCAGGATTTCCTTGCAAGTGCTCACCTACGCTTCCTGCCTGCCTATCAAAGGAGCAGCAACTGATGGTAGGATAGCCATGCTCAAGCCTTATGAAGCCATATCCGCTGCACAATTTTAACAAGTGCTCATGAAACGTCATTCCATCCTTCAGTTGACTACTCATCCAAGAAATACTGATTCATCACACACCTACTGATGTCCGATCAGACAGATAGAAAAGGATGTTCTTCACTATACAGCTAATGCAAGATCTCCACACTATGGATACTTCGAGACATGGTACAACCTGGGTTGTACAAATTCCATATAAATCAGGGAAGAAGATTTCAATACATCATGGGTAGCTTTAAATGCATCTTTCCTAGCCAGTGTTCTGCAAGTGGGGTTTCTCCTCACAGAGGGGCTTAAATGGGAGAAAAAGAGCTGGGGAGAAGCACCGGTGGAAAAGTAGTTTGTATCTCTCGTCTTTACAATGCATCAAAATTCCTTCTTTTTTGTAGTTTATTTTTGGCAACTAAACCCAAGAGCATAAGTCTGCCCCAATAAGTTTGTGGTGTGGGCCTGTAGGCTCCAGCTGGAGCGCACTGCACGATGACGGCAGAAGTTAGCTCAATGCACAGGGCTCAGCCCCCAGCTCTGTTCTACAGCTCAAAATTTAGCTAATAAAAGCTAAATTGTCCAAGCACTGCAATTATTTTCAGTACAAGTGAGAGCTGACAAGACTACCTCCAGTTGATACTGGAGAAGAATCCTGAGCATACAACAAAATACTTGCTTGACTGTAGTACACATAGCACAGAAGAACATTTTCATATTGTTTGTCATCAGCCCCAACCAGATATTGCATGAGTGTATCTTAAATCAAGGGTTAGTGTATACTATTTCCAGAAAGTGTGACATGCCAACTTCTTTTGTTTACTCGTCTTGTTTAACTAAGCCAATATGTGAATAAGTCTTTTCCCCCTGTATTCAGCACCATAGCAACTCTATGAATCACTCCGCAGAAGCAATTCATCCCAACAAGGAAATTATGGTTCCCAGCTTCAGAAATTATGTTTCGAAGCCAGTGTACTAAACCATGGTTTCAAGTTGGTTTAGGATTGTGGCTTCTTCTGGAACTGGCAAGCATACTCGTAGTTCTCAGGTCTGTATGAAATGAGAAATCAGGATTAATTGAAGACTTTTACACTTCATTCAATTGTGCTGAAGACTATTATTGTTACTACACTGCATTTATATCTCAACTTTCTTGCTTTTGCCGAAACCGAAGGCAGCTTTCTAAGTTCTCATCCTCTCATTTTATCCTCAGAACAACCCTGTGAGGCAGGTTAGGCTTAGAGAATGTGACTGGCCCAAGGCCCAAGTCACCCAGTGAACAGATCCCTGAGTCCCTGTTCAGCACTCTTAGTCACTACACCACATTGGATCTATCTTACTTTTTAAAATTAGCACTTTACAGTACAGCTTTTGGCAAACTATACAGGCTACTATAACCCATACCAATGGGCTATTTTAAAAGCAACATGGCTGCTTTGAAAAAAAATGGGAGAGGAAAAACTGCTGCTTCACAGGCACTTGTGAGGCTTCTCCCTGCTTCAAAAAAAACCCAAACCCTCAGCAACAAATGTGTGCTTTATGAGATTGGATAATGACATCAATCAAAGCCACTGAGGACAGTGACCAGATCTAGATCTAGCCATGAAAAACCCAAATTCAAATCCTTACTTTGAAGCAAACTAGATGAGATAGTCTACTTCTGAAACTTCCAAAAGCAGCAAGAGGGTACAATTCCAATGCAGTGATATGGAAAGAAGGCTAAATGCTTACCTTAATCATCGCCCACAAATCCCTACCCTGCTAAAGCCATTTCCCCCCATCTGGTTCTACACGATAAACAAAAAAGCTGGGATGGAAAAGCATGGATAAGCAATGTGATCGCAGCACTTTCTGCCTGCCTGCCTGCCTGCCTGCCTGCCATGTACTCTGTCCACACGTGCATTCAAACAGTACAGGTATTTGGCACAACCCAAATGTGTTGCCATTGCACTTACTTTTACCTCTTACTATAAACTTTACTGGTGATCTTAATCATATTCCTGTTGCTTAACCTACCTTACCCAAGTTGTTAGGCTAAGCCACTTGGAAGAAGGTAGATGAAACTAATTCAATGACTAATTTCTAACACACTTGGAAAAACACTATATAAATGAGTAGAGTGTTGCTTGCTGTAGTCTAACTGTAACAACAACAGCACCAGGAACATCATTATTTTATTTCTATCAGTATGTCTCAACCTTCACAATTCTTTTCATAAGTATTACCGAGCGATCAAATCCTATAGGTAAGAAGGTAATATAGGTCAAAACATTATGTTACATTTGGAGTGGGGAGACCATGCTCAAGAGATGCAAGATGCCTTCAGCCTAATCGTAAACAACCTTCACTGTAAGCTGGCTCTCCAGACTGTCTCTCTAGGATTCACATGTGGACACTGAGAGGCAGAGGAAAGATGGGAATGACATATGAAAAGTTCACAAACCTGCAAGGTTCAATATTTGGCATCTTCAGTTAAAAGGACTAGGTAAAGAGGTGATACAGAAGAATCTGGAGAGTGGCCACAAATTGGAAGAGGCAGCACTGAGTTAGATGGGAAACTGTCTGCCTGAGGTAGCTTCCCATACATGCTGACTTTGCTGAAAAGGCTTGTGGGATTCATCCACAGAGGTATCAGAACTAGTGAAATTCAGTCACTGGGGTAGGAACCAATGACATGAAATTAAGCTTTCTTCAACAAAGACATGGAGGTGAAAGAATGATGGCTTTTCCCATAATTTAGTTCTGCCCTCTAAAAGGTGACTTCCAAATGCAACACCAGAAAAAAAAAAGTATGTAGTTCATCTTGCTTTAAGCTTAAAGCAGGGTTCTGTTGGAGGGGTTGTATTGGAGTCTGTATAAATGAAGTAAGAATTTCAAAGAAAACACACACATACGTGTTTGTGTGTGTGTGTGTTTGTGGGAGGGAGGGTGGGAGGGAGGGAGGGAGGACTCTGTAGGATAAGGTACTACTGTAATGATTCTAAATACAAAATTATCTGTACCTCCACACTATCGCTATGTTATAAGGCTAAACCAGTAATAATGCTTTACTACTCTAACAATAGTGTTGCTCAAAGATATGATTTATTTAGGGTGCAGGACTCTTTTCTGTCCAATCATGCATAGGTTTGTGCCTTAGCTGTATAAAAGGCAACTAAAGATACAAAGAAATAATTTGGTATACTACTTTAAGTCATATGCAAAAAAGACTTAAGTACATCTTCCAAAAACTGACATTCAGTACCTTTTTAAACTTTGCTTGTCGCTTTGCTGCAGACTGCCCCTGGGAGTTAGAACAACATACTGTAAGAAAACATCACAAACTCTAGAGAATGGAGACACCACCTTCTATTATGCTCTTGTTCCCTACTTGTTCCTTGTTCCCTATTTCTAACTTAGCATCTCGTTTCTATCCTTATCAAACACAGTATGCTAGGTTTCAAAAATATAATCATGTAACGATTCCTTGTGTATACAGCTGAGTACATGTTTTTTAAAGGAAGCAGACAAATTTTACATTACTTAGCATACAAATCCTAGCCATGTTTGGATGGAAGGTTCAACAATTCCTAGCCATGGCTGGCTGGGGAATGCTGGGAGATGTAGGACTTTTTCCTTCTAAACATGCATAGGATTGCACTTTCAGGGGACTAATTAAACTGAGCTTCTGACTTAATAGCTTCCAAAAAGTTAATGTGGCAAAGTCAGTCTTTGACAGCAAGTTAACTGATTTTACAACTGCTTTCTATTGCTCCCCAGCTCCCACTATAATAAAATGAAGCTGAATACGTTGGTGGTTATAGCAAGAACACAACACTATTGATGTCATTCCTTTCAGTATGCTATGTCCAAACATGCTATATTATGGCCCATCTCTGATCCAGTCTTCAAACCCACTTGAATTCCTCTTTCTCTTCAAATTAATTCATAGAAGCAGATCTGCTCATAGCTAACTACAATTTACCTAACTTTTCTGTGTAGGGAAATTGCTGAATTCCTTTGGCAAAAAGACATATATCATAGATCAGACAAAACTTAAGGCAAGTCAGTTAAGCTGCTTTAAGCACAACTGTGCTCATCAAATTAAATCCCTTTGAAAAAACATGTGTCGCTTAGGTGCCACCTTGCGGCTAACTTGCCTCTTCATTTGGTATGATCAGAGATTGCTCCTTGGCAAGTGGCTTGTTGCAAATGGTCTTGCAACCACCTTCAAAAATATGTAAGGCGCTGACCCATTTTCTTCAGGGCTCCATTACTCCCAAATCAGCTTATTGTAGACAAAATACATAGAAGAAGGAAAATACAAGAAGCTCTGAAAAGGTATCTGCTATAACCCCTATCAACAGCTACCATCATCTTCTGCATCTACAGATGCACATAGACGGAAGAAGCTGCAAGATAATGAATGCAACAGTGTTCTATGGGCAGTGGCAGTTCAGATAAAAAGAGCTTAACAGTGTGCAAAAAAACCCACTGCTGTTTTAGCCATGGCTAATACTGTCTGCTTCCCGCTTTAGCCCCATGCCATGTGCCATCTTTTTGACCCTGTGTGCCCAGATGGACAGCATGAACAATTGTTAAGCAGCTTCTTAATCGTGTTCCCTACAAAGACTCTGACCTTTACAGCAAAACTGCAAGTCCTATAAGAAATGTCTCAGTGACCTTTCCAATACTTGGCTTGACAAGCTGTTCAAGCAAAATATAGGAAGAATTTCTGAAAAGCAGATACATATTTAAAAGGAACTAAATGGCTGTTGAATGAATGCCTACATCCATTATAGTTAAGCAAATGTCTTGTGGAAACGCATGGTTCAGTCATACTCCCTGCAGTCCTATAACTGAAGATGCATTTGGCTGATTTTTTTTTTGAAGTAACTGAACCAAGAACATCCATTAAAATGTGGAATTTAATAAGAAAAAATGAGGTTGTATCGAAGGGTGTCCAGGGTACTTTTCCAAAATGCAGATATCTCCATGGCCTAAAAAAGTTTTTTTTAATAGCATTTACTGTTTTAATGGAAGCTGCATGCTTAAAAGTAGAAAATTTCATGCAAGCTGAAATGCAGCAACATGCATAGCATAAAAGAAAGTGGTCAATAATAATAATAATAATAATAATAATTATTATTATTATTTATATACTGCCCAATAGCCAAAGTTCTCTGGGAGTGTACAACAACTGATAAAGTACAATAAAATAGAACATTAAGTATAAAATATAAATGATGGGAAAAAAATTTAAAACAAGATATATAGAACTAAATTTTAGCAACTTAAATGGTGATATTTCAAAGCCCATAAACATATGTGAATTCAAGTAAATCTTTATACTCTGAAACTACTCTTTTCTACAGCAAAAAAGTGTTGGACATTCTTGCAAAGGTAACAAAAATATAAGTCTAAAATGAAATGGTAAATAAAGCTGCTCCAATGTTAAACAAGCACTACTATTTGCATTAGAACAGCTTTTAAAGCGTCTACCTTCCAAACCCTAAAAAATCTATACTATATAGTAAAAACATTTTAACAAAAAGTTAGCCATTTAAAATACAGTTCCCTTTGTGGAAAATATAAGCTTTTGCATTAATGATCACTGTACTCACCGCTTTCTTTCCAAGTTCTGTCTTTGAAAGTGTTAGTGACCCTACAAGGTAACAGCCTGGACTTGCTCCTTTAGGAACTCTAACAAAGGAAAATATAGAATGCAATGATGGTTATATCCTGAGATTCCCAGTACATGTAATGGTGAAAAATGCTAATGCACTAGTGAAATGGGCAGCTGGAAAATATGGCAGGCCACAGTCAACTGTGTGGCACATGCTGATGCAAGAGCAGTGAAGCTAAGCCAAACACACCAACACACCCTCATATTTCCTTTACTGCCTGGGGTTGGCTGAAATGGGGCAGACAGAACTGTTTCATTCCTCTTAGGCACTATTACCAGTTCCAAAGCCCAGGCATGGTTTTAAATTTATTGTAACTCAGTTATTCTTTCTTCTTCCTCCCAACAGCCAGATATACAAATGTTGAGCAAGCCCAGAAATCTACCATCAGCTCATGGTGGAGAGAGAGAAAAGACTGGCTGTTCTGAGGGAATGAAAGATGCCTCTTGGTGCAGGGCCCTGGCCAGGTACCAGTGAAAAAGCTGCCTCCCAGTAGACAGAGTGGGAGAACACCCAACTGGACAGCAGTAAGGATGGACAAATAACCATTTCTATTGCCTAGTCTTGGAGGGTCAGATGGTTGACAACATTTAAACTGTTATACACCATATGCTGCAAAGCAGGATATAACTTACTTGTCATCTGGCAAAGATGTAACGAAAAAGGGCTGGCTGTGTTTTGGCGGAAGAGACATACTATTTGCCTTTTTCTTCCCTAAAAGAGCCTGGTTGTGGTTTTCATAAATATCTAAAGGCAGGGCACTAGACAGTCTGTGTGAGACAATAAATGGAAGGTCTTTGATACGATCCAGCTCACTGTTCTGCTCATGACGTATTTGTAGGCGAACGGTATAATCTCCTTTCTCCAATTTTACAGAATACTAAGGAAAAAACATTTGTTTAGTACCAAGAACCATAAATATTTACAGAGTTACTGAACAATAAACATTTCCTTCTGAAATATGAGAGTTTAACACTTCCACTTAAGCTCTAATTTTTCTTTTCCCCTCCAAGTTTATGAGATATTCCACTGATAAATACTAGAAAACAAGAATGTACAGTGAATTTATATAATTAAAAGGGCTAAAAAGCCAGAGGAGATAATAATTCCTTGGAAAAGAAAAGAACATTTAATTTAAAAAGGCAATACCAATTACAGAATAGAAATACTTTCGGTTTTAAATGTGCCTTCTAGGATACATTACTCCAATGTAATTTTTCCAGTGCTTTTAAAATGGTAGCTCTGCATTATCCTGGTCTCCTTGAACCAGAATAATGGCTGTTTATGGCAAAATTGCATAAAATCCTAGATCTTTATAAAGCTTTCATCAAGTGAAGGTATTGTTGAGATTTTCCACGATGCAGCAAACATATGGTCAACCTGTCACTTTAAATTAGGTTGGAGAAAGAGCATGAGCAATTCTTTATTGCCTTGATCTTCCTGTATTAAAGATAAATGTTAACGTATAGTGTATATTATTCTAATTATTCAGCATGCTCATTATAGTTCCCATTAATAATGGATGTGGTTTTACTGCAGTGATAATTCTTTGTTCCCTTCCTGTATTAACTATTAAGGTTTGAACAGTGCAAGAATTACATAGTCTGGATCGAGAGTATTTCTTAGGCAAAAGGAAGGAACCCTTCATTCAGAGATGCAGCAAAAGCTCCTGCTGAAGGAAGGAAGGGAGTCAATTTTTGACAGTCATCTCTTCCCTCTGTAGTCCCCCATATCACACCTCCCATATTCCTTCAAGTCTCTGCAGCAGCTTTTCCAAGGAGCATAGAAGGCTCCAGGGGGAAGGAGAAATGGATGAAAATCTTTCCCAGCAAGAGCATGCCATTATTATGGATCCATGTCATCCTTATTCTGTGCACTGGAGAAGATTTATGTCGGGAATGGAAAACTTAAAAGATCCAGGGGAAATTTTTCTACCCTGTGGAACTGCAACCCACAGGCTACACTCTGCAGGCCCTAGGGCACAGACTGCCGTTCTGGGGCAAAAAACTATTAGGGAAGCCTAAATTGGCCAACTGCCCCTTGTTCTGTCACTTCAGGCTTCCTTAGAAGTTCGCCACTAAGATCAGCAACAATGTTTTTGCCACCATTGCTGATTTCAAAAGTTAGAGGGGACAGTGATAGCTGCATGCAGCTTGAGCACAGCCCATCCCTGAATTCAGTCACTACTAGGATGACAAATTTTAATCACTGACATTACACTGATACAGAAAACAAACTAACAAACATACTGTTTAGGTCCTACAAGGAAGCTCAGATACTAAGATCTGAAGCTCCTGCACTTTTGCCAGCCATGAATCATTCTGAAAGATTTCTTGTGAATCTATTATAAATTTCAATCATATGTATGTGCATACAATTTCTTGTAACTGCAAGACAGCCCACTTTGTGTTGCTCACTTGCATCCCCTTTGCCAGCCATGAGACAGGATTGCCTTTGAAGGACATGGGATTCCCCAGTGCCCATCGTTTATACTGTGGCCTGTGTCCTACTCCACTCACTCCTTTCTTTAGGAGGATACTGCTGCCTGTTAACTGGTGGCAGAGGTAAGTAGCGGCTGTAGTGGCCTACTTTTAAAAGGAGCCATTCAGCCCCTGACATGACACATTAAGACATATGGCCCGGGAATCACTGCACTGAATGAATATGTCAGTTTTAAGCCTATGCTCAACCCATTCATACACAGAAATGAATGACAGAGCTTAGTGAATATCACTTATATATCTACTGCAAGTGAAATAATGCAGACTCCACTCATTTATTGATGGAAAGAAGGAACGTACAAAGTTTATAGTGGAGGTAAACTTTCACTGTAACATACTAACAGCTGCTTAGTTTCTGAGGTCAAACTGCCTCTCCAAGTATGCAGTTTTATTTACCTGAACAGGAAAATTACTTTCCATAAGAATATTGATGCACACCACTGTACGAGAGAAATAGAAGACAATATGCAAATAACAGAGCTTTCAACTAAAATCAGATTGGGTTGTTTGGCCTTTGCTTATGTCAGCTTGAAAATAAACTTAGCAAAGACTGCAGAAGTAAATAAATAAATTTATAAAAGCAGTAAATAAATCAATGTTGTACAGATATCCTTGCGTACCTGGTGAGGATAGGCATCCCCTGACCCCATTGGCTTTTTATTCTGATCAAAGATAATCCACAACTGGCTGTCAAATTCCGATTCATATAACAGTTCACACAGCAAGGGGCAACTTGGAGTTACTTCTCCACTCTTAGGCTGAAGAAAAGTGAGAATGTTTTAAGGGTGTTCAATAATTTTAAAGCCTTTTTAATACACAGATAGCTTAGGATTAAGTCTATATTTTAGCACATAGCAGCACTTAATCAAATCTATGTATTACTCGCCTATCAGTGAATTAAATTCAGAACTTTTACTGGTGTAAGCAGATTAAAGTTATACCTAGATATTATATTATGGGATATTCTTTCTTTGGGAACTTCAGTTGAACAATTCAAACTTACTTGATGGAAGTTGTATGTCAAAATCATCTCATATAATTGTCGATTATTTGGCAAAACATCTCGGGATCCTAATGGTTTTATTTTAGCACTCAGAGGTCTGTAATTCAGTAATACAATGGTATGCATTAAGAAATGATTCAGGTTTCAATTTTAACACAAAATGCAGAAAACATTACTTTAGATCAATTTTCTGGGGGAAAAAACTCATATAAAGTGGCCACTGTAAATTACATAAAATACAATAAAAATAAAGTTTGAAAGTCTAAAAATACTATCAGATAGCAACATAAAAATAATTTCAAAGCAAGCAACAAGAAATAAAACCTTAAAAAGAAATAGGAGTTTTAAAGGTATACTGTAAAGTCTGTTGAAAAAAAAAAAGAACAGTTTCTAAACGAGGCCTAAATATGAAGAATAAGGGAGACTGGCAGACCACCAAGGGGAAGAGTTCTACAACAAAAAGGCATTTTTCTGATACATTCCTGACCAATATGCCATACTAAGTAGGACTTCTGAACTTTTATTTGTGTGTTTCATTTCTATACCACCCAACACCTTCATTTTTATGTAGATAATAATACACAAAAACACAAACTAAAAATACAATAAAAGGCTGTATAGAATGTCTCCATAATCTTCAATTCATCTGTCATTGTGAGACATAACCTGCTCCCAGAACAGTTTAAACAGACCTGAGAACTTTATAGGGAACTAATAAAATGGGAGTGAAAGTGGATAAATATAACATGTTATACAATTACTGCATCACTTAATCTAGATAGTTGACAATGTGGTTTCCAATGCCAAACAAGTTACCGCATCTGCCTTAATGCAAAACGTATGTTGAAAGGTAAAGTTGAACTATCCACTGTTGAACTCTCATAATGTACTACTTCTAGATAATGATAGAATACAAACGGCTTTTCAAATAAATACTGCAAGTAAACATGTATGCATTTGTTGACTAAAATATTTTGGCAGTTTGTAAGAGGATCAATTCCTTATACAGCTATGAAAAATACATTTATATAAAAACTCATGGCAAAATTGTAAGCCATCCTGAGGCTTTTTGCAACAGGACTGTGTATATTTTAAATAAATAAAATAAATAAAGGAAGACACAAGGTACATTTCCTTTTTGTTTTTATTTATTTTCATATTTCACCTGAAGAAGAGCTGTGTCGTAGGAACTTATGAATCTTAACAAGGAGACTGACACTCAGATGACCTGGGTTCTAGTCTCCACTCATCCATGCAGTGAACTGGATAACTTTGGGCCAGTCACAGAGTCTCAGGCTAACCTACGTCACAGGCTTGTTGTTGTGGGGATAAAACCGAGAGTAGGAAGAGAATAATGTAAACCACTTTAGGTTCATAAGAAAAAAGGGGGATCTATCAAATAAATAAACAAACAGTGCTATTATTTTCTCTAATCCAGTGAATTTTATTCATGCAGCTGCCTGGTTTTTGATTTGACTGTACCTTAGTGTTTGAACCCAGCTTTTGAGATTAATGCAAGGAGAAATGTCTTCATATTTTAGTGCTGACTGAACATCAAAGCGTGCTATGCCTTCTGATGCATGCTAAAAGGAAAAACAGGTGTTTGTTATTATCAGCTTTGTAGTTCTAGCAGTGTATGTGCATATATATACATGGAAAATGCATTTTAGATTAATATTTTAAAAATGAGTACATTTCATTAGATATTAACTAATTAGTATGCTTTAAAAAGTTTAAATGTGAAATGGCATATGCTTTTTTACATTTCATATAGTAAGTGTGTAAGGAACCAATATTCTGAACTGTTGACTTCAGAACAGGTCTTTAGTTTTTTTGTCTTTAATATCAACAAGAATAAAAGGGGTAGGAATAAGATGCAAGAAAAAGAAAAGCCATTTATATTCCTTTATGAATAGGAGCTGATAATACTCATTCAGCCTACATAAAAGTTTGAGGAGGAGAAAGGTCAGTTTGATGGTCAGACTGATTCAACCTACATCAGTCAAACACATGTTGACTCAAGCACAAGGTGCAAAAAAAGTTTTCGAGAACAGTCCTTAATTGCCTGTTTAATACAGCAACAGAACAAGCTTCCACACTAAAGTGATGGAGATGCCTTTGCAGGCCTAAGACAACAGGTATGCTGCACCAAAACAGGAAGTTGGACCTGCTAACATCTTTAAATTCCTTCAGTGCACAGAATGTCTACATTGACTGCATAACTGTATATCAGAAAACCATGTATCTCCAAGTCATCTATTCTATTCTATTCTATTCTATTCTATTCTATTCTATTCTATTCTATTCTTCATTCATTCATTCAGGAAGCTTCAATGTCGACCCATTCACTGAAGCCTCGGGGCGGCTCACAACAATAAATAAACATAATATAAAAACAATATAATTTGAGACAACCTGGCCAGAAATATAAAATAAATAAATATTAACAATTAAAATGACATTTAAATAAAAAGGTCTTTGCCTGGCGCCGAAAAACAAATAACGACGGTGCCAGACGGACCTCTCTGGGGAGCACATTCCATAGGTTGGGCGCCACTGCGGAGAAAGTCCTCCTCTGAGTACTTACCCTCCTAATATCCTTCATGGAGGGTTCCCAGAGAAGGGCCTCTCCTGCAGATCTCAAGGGGCAGGCGGGCAGGCATATATGGATGTAAGCACTCCTTCAGGTAACCAGGACCCAAGCTGTTAAGGGCTTTATAGGTCATATCTAAAGGAACGCTTGCGTCCATATATGCCCTCCCGCCCCTTGAGATCTGTGACCAAGGCAGATTCAGTACTGTACCCGGGTCTGAAGCCGGACTGAAATGGGTCCAGATAATCAGTTTCATCCAAGAGTGCTTGGAGTTGTCCCGCCACCACCCACTCCAACCCCTTGCCCAGAAACGGATGTTGGCTACTGGTCTATAATTAGTGTCCATCTCTGGATCCAGTGACGCCTTCTTCAGGACCGGTCGGACTACCGCCTCCTTTAAAGGGGCAGGTACCCGGCCCTCCCTCAGAGAGGTGTTAACCGCTTTTGGCAAGATTTACCAAAACATAATAAAAGGCATCAAATGATACTCACAATGTTTAATGGAGAAGGGGAGCACACTATACCATGGAATGAAATGCTGTAGTCAATGCTGACATCACTGAGGCTTGCCCACCAACGAGCAATGCAGAATTCAATTGTTCTTCCACCCTTTGTGTGGGAGGGAGAAAGGTTGTGATTTATACATAGGTTCTCACATTCCATTAACTCACCCTGTCTCCAAAAGTCAAGGAAATCAGTCAAGCTGCTTAAATGGCACATAATAGTGGGTGGGTTCACGTGATCTCCTTGCCCTGTTGTTTTATCTATGTACTGTGAGTAAAATGCCCCTGTGCCTAACAGATAATCAGGCACAGCAGCAATCGGGTTCTCCACTCTGTCATCCCACTGGTATCCCACAGGAGATTGTGGGAACACTGAGCGGAGCACAGATGACTTCACTTCCCCACTCCCATGTTCCTGCCAATGCTAGGAGGGCGGGATTCCTTGTGCAAACCCAGTCACTCCTGAACTACCAACTTTGGTCTATGTGTTTTATAATATATAATGTTTACCTTTCTAATTAAGAATAGAAATACTAAAAAAGCTGTTAAGCAAATAAGTGCTATATAATGAGGAATGATGGCATTGACGTTTTTGTTTTAGTATGCTGAAACAGTCTGCTAAATTTTAATTCAAGTAGCTACAAAGGTAATTACCATATTGAATCATTGAATCAATAAACCAAAATCATCTGCAGAAAAAGATAACTTGCACTAAAGCCACTGTTTTGGACATGGTAAGCTTTCAAGTGAAGCAAGAATGAAGAAGTGTTTTATCAAACTCAAGAGCTGTTTAACCTATTGTGCCAAAGCTAATACACAAGAAAGCCTTTGCTAAACATTGACCCACAGTCTCATACCCGAAATCAGAATGTGAATCATCAGCACAACCAGCACAGGAAATCTCCCATGAGTGCACCTGAAGTTTAACGGGATGTGCATGAGCGACAGTTATACTTTTGTGCAAGCTTCAGTCATATTTAAACCAGCTACAGTCGATGGCTTCAGAATGAACCCAAGAGGGTTTCATTAGTTTCAGCAGAGCTATTGTTTTATGCAAAGATGCACCTCACATATTCCCTCCTGCATCTGCTTCTCACTGTGCAGAGTCAACATTGCAGAGAAAAAGAAGAATATACCTGAGCCTACAATTGGCACAATCAGTGCCCACCAAATCCAGTTTCAATCCTGGTATATTTAAATAAACCTGAAGTAATGAATATGCAGTATTCTAAATCTTGGCAAGAACATTGTTTTATATTATAACACTAAACCAACCATTTTATGAATCTGAGAGTCTCTGCATGAGTAACAGAGCTCATTTTTTAAAAAAAGATACTGCCTTATAGGCCTTATTTTGTTTTATCTACCCAATCAACCTGTGTGGCAGGTCATGATTGTTATTCACATTATTCAAATAGGACACTAAAGGTAAAAGGAAGAATGAACCCACAGCCATCTGAACATTGAAGGTCCAAGTCCAATGTGAGAGATACTCTGGAAATCATACTTGCTTTCAACTATTATATCCCTGTATGCAGTAACACTTAGCTCTTTCGATTTTGGACTTACTAAGACCGGAAATGCTTCAGTAATGGATCCTTTTTCTGGAATCGAAGAGAATTTGTAGAACTCATGACTTCGGTATGCTTTTTGCTTTACTAACTGAACCGCATGGAGAACGAACTTGGCAGTTACATCAGATGATGATGAGCACACTGTTACTTCTAGGTAAGAGAAAAGGGTGCTGCTTCAGTTCTAGTGCATGCATCCAAGGAGTAAGCCAAAGTCCAGGAGAAAGAATTATAACTACTGGCAAGTCTGCTTTAGAAAATAATGCATGATAATCCCCTTGATAATGGCTATACTGATCATCCATAAAAGTTAAATGCAAGTATCAAATAGACACCAAATTAATGAACTCCACTTTTAATCTAGACACTCAAAGTGACATGCAGCTATAGAAAATACCGCACAGATCTTAAACTGTTCAAGAACTGTTTACCAATAAACATTCATCAAGTTCTTCTAGTGAGTTCCCAATTTGCTATATTACTTGACTTACCAGCCCATGTTGCTCCCGAAGGAACTTCAACGAAGTGTCTTTGGACTTGACCAGGTTTAAAATGAACATCAGTAAATTTAAGATCATAGTGTGAAGCTTCATCTATCCTGTAAACATAATCACAGTGTTTTACAAAATGCAGAATGCACATGTATGGAAAGAAAGACTAAATATTTATTTTACAAAACATCCAGCATACAGGTTGGAATGTGCATGCTATTTTAAAGATATCCAAAATGATCAGTTCCTGTAACTGGTTTAAAGAGGTTTAAATGGCTACAGGAATACCCTTGACCAAGAAACAGAGATCTTTCAATAATGCTAACTTCTGACACCTTTCCAAAGATGCCATGGAATTTCTTTCTTGAAGCCCTGGTCTCCTCAAAATATATGTGTTCTTATGTTCTTAATATGAAACAAGAATAACTCAAAGATGTATACAACAGTGATCCTCAAGTTCTAGAAGCATCCCACAAATATGTTTGTCCATAGTTGGAACTTGATTGTCCACTGGTACAATTCAACAAAAGCCTCCTTTTTTTTACTCCTGTTACAGATTTATATGGAATTGTCTTACTCTGAGGTGAGTTATTCCCATTTCACAGATGAGAATTTTTGTAGTCTCCCAGTGTGCTCAAACCAGGGCTTAAAACTTATTTATCCAAGCCCAGCTCTCTAGCCCGGGGACCACACTGGTTCGGACTCTTGTACTGTGACTTTTGCAATACACAAAAAGGCTTGAGTTGGATTTGAATTCTGCCCACCATTCAGTGCTGGGGCTTCATACAGATAAGCAGAGATAGAGGCCAGATATACCAATCAAGATTGCTTAGAAAGGTTTCACATTAAAAAGCAAGCAGTAAAAACTCATTTACCTTGCTGGTATAACAACAGTTACTGGAACTCTAAACAAAGGACCTGCATTAGGCATTGATATTTCATAACCACACACCTAGAAAATTGAATGCAATAAAATTAGCCACCATGTTTTAACAGCTTGTTTCCTTACCCAAGCTTCATCTGGCAGATGATCAAACAAAATAGCGCTTGTCTTCTGAATGTCTGGGTTGTTTATTATCCCCCTACTTGATCCTGTGTACCAAATGCCTCTGTACTACATACTGGTATGCAGAATGGCTTTTTAAAACCACTCTTGACTGTCCATTCTGTTGCTTCACATAACAAACCATGTAGAACTCACAATTCTGATGTAATGTGTAGAAACCAGAATTCAGAACCCCACAAACCACAAGCTCTTTTTCTGGGTTGTTCCTGCTTAACGAAGCATAATTTGTGAAGACAGCTGGTTTTGCAAAATGTGACAATCTAGAATTTAAGAACCCATATCATAGGTTAGCATTATGTGCAAATTCACTCATCTCTTCCTTAATGCACTTTTTAAATTATTTCCTGTTGATCTCATTTGTGGAAAGCTCAAGGAATCAACTCCTTCCAGCCCTACCTCTACACACATCACTTCGAAATGGCTGAAAGTTACAGACAATTATATCAGGCACTGCTGTATTGTGGTTCTTACCAGATCTAATTTTAATAGAATGGGAAGGACATAGCTCCCATTGAAGACTGTAAGACTGGACTGTCCTATCTGTAATACCTAGATAACTTTTAGAAAGCTGGGGATGAAGCCCACACCGGTTTGAAAAGAAAAACACTCTAACACTAAAGAGGTCAGAAGACCATACCTCTGTATAGTGAACTCCTTCCCGTAGGCCACGTGGATCCACACGAATGTTAATGTGCCTGCACTGATTCATGAGCTCCAGATGAGTAGGGCACTGAACCCAGCATGCATTTGAAGTCAGTGCTAAATGAAGCTGGAGGGATATCCTGTCACTATTTTCTGAAACAATGTGCAAATACAGAATTTTGTTCCATCAGTTCATATCCTAAAGACTGTTTTAAGTAGAACAGAAAACAACAGTGTTCCTTTAAATTCCACAATACATTTTTCTAATGTTTTATGGTCCATACCCATTATATACCCCTTAAAATAATGGGTCCATACCCACCCACACCCCTTAATACAAGCAGCTCCTTTCCTACCTGTATTTTCAGGAAAGAATGGTTCTATGCCAACTCCATGGTCCGAAGGTGCAGCTACCTGAACAGGTTCCCTGAGGTAGATTCCACGGTTGTTGCCACAGGTAACAGTAAAACCGATGTTGTTTGCAAAGGATGAATTCTGAGTGAGGTAGTCATAGGCTTTATCAACCTGTAGAAGAAAATAAACAAAAATTAACTCTAAAATGTGGAAATATAATTCCATTCATGTCCATGTCTGTAACTGAAAATATTGCAGAACTGGCCTGCCTGAGCTGCTGTTCAACAGTAGCAGAACCAGCTATGCATATTTTAATATTTTTGATGCCAACAGTATATATGCAAATTTTAGCAATGCCTTAAGGCATATTGTATATTATAACATACTTAAGCAAGAAACAATACTTAACAATTCGAGCACAAGACAAAAATTACTTGCAATCTCTAACTGGGAACAGCTTTTGGCATGACTGGAGGACACTAGGGCCAAGCCATTCACTACTGCTGCAACTCTTGGAATGAACCCTCTTGGAAACTCATTCAGTAATCACAGAGTTTTAGAAGGGGCTGAAGACTTCCTTGTAGAAGGGATTAGACTGGCACTACAGTGGTTGTTTTAACTGCAGTGATTTTACCCTCTGCTCCTGTTTCACTGATTCTTTCAAGAGCAGTTAAAGTTTCAGCTGTTTTATTCCAATTTTATTTTTGTTTTTAATTGTGTTTTAAAAGTAGGGTATACATATAAAAAAATAGTCAAACCACTTGACATGAAATAGAACTTAAAGGGTTTTGTGCAATCTGTGCCAAGTAGCATAAGACATATAGTAAAACTACACAGTGTAATTCTATCAGAAGTACATCAGAAGTGAGTCCCACTGTGATTGTGCAGAATTGTTCCCATTTCAGCATGCATAGGACTGCATCCCATAGAAAAGAAACCCTGAAATAGCAACATGGAAACTCAGAATATGGGAGCTACTGAATCCCCATAAGATAATAGAAGCTATGTAACAGTCAAGCCACTACAGCAAAGGGACATGATACAATGTACACCCAGCAACTTTTCTTGCCTCCAGCACAGCTTGAATCAAGCAATTTGTTTTTGGACAAAGCAGCAGCAAACGTCAAATAATGGAGAACAGGAGCGATAGAATAGCTGTCCTAAGAGACTAGTAACAAAAATTGTTTCTTTGAGAAATAGTATATAATTACCTGAATAACACCATGTCCTTGTGCAAATACATGTATGTTTTCCACCTTCACTGCAGTATTTTCTAGTGCTCTCCTCACTGAATGTACAGTGTAACACACACCATTAGCTTTAAGTCCTGTAACACAAGCCCATGGATAGAAATCAGATAAATTGTTGCATTCAAATTACTGATTTCTTCCTGCAAGTACCACTTGTTTTAAAGGAGTGGGGTTCCACATTACCTGACAATACTAAAGCAATGCCACCACATGCATTAGGTGAAGACATGGATGTGCCATTCATGAGCTGTGTCCCTCGTAAGGTCCAGTTTGGAACAGATGCAATAGCACCTCCAGGTGCACTAATGCTCACCCCCAGTGCTCCATCCGTACTGAAAGACAGAAGCATGGTCAATGTGGCAACAATTCACCTTTTGCCTCCTAAGCTATGCCACTTTCTTTCCTAGAGTTATGCAGAAATGGCATCATGCAAGATTCCCTTCTACCTAACTGCCAGAAGGGCATCACCTTTAAGTGGCCCAGTAGTTGGGAAATGCATGAAACCTAATCCACCCATGTCTCACCAATTCACACAGATAAGCACCTACCAAATCATGACTTAAATAATAAATAAATAAACAAGCAAGCAAGCAAGCAAGCCACCCAGAGAGCCTCTGACTCTGGGGGTGGCGTACAAATTAAATAATATAAATAAATAATATTTATTTAAATTAAATAAATCTATGATGTGCACATAAGCGCATGTTAACTGGGTAATCTATGTTGCCCTGCCAAGATTAGGATTAGGAGAAATTATTACTTGCTTCTCTCAGACTTCTGATCAGATGCACAAGTGTGGCCAAAGCTCATCACTAATTGGATATTGCATACAACTGACTTCTTTCATAGTGGCACATACGGAGCTACCACGGATTTTCAAGCCGCAAAATCATCTGCTCTGACTGACAGAGGCCTTCTCTAGCTCCTGCTTAATGAGACTCTTTTAACTGGCAATCCTGCATCCAGGGCAACATGCTTTTATTGTGCCACTGAACTTCTGTCCCTATGAACTGGCAGGAGGAAATGACTTGCCAAGATATTGCTCACATAGTAAGTTTCTACATGGTAAAATGCTGACTGTACTTAGCAATTGCTTAAAATGATTAAAATTTCTTTCATCCTACTGTTGCTTCCCCTGGATTATCTCCATTTCTAGCACTTTCCTGTAAAGCCAATCAGGATCTATTCATATTGCTTACTAGACTTATTAAAATAAATCTGAAACAGGAAAAAAGAACTCAGTCTTGCACCTGCCAAATTAATCACATGGGTTTCTGGGTTTTGTTAGTTATTCCGCTCATGGTTAGGGATCATGAGTTCAGTTTCTCAGTTTTCTAATCTTAAATTCATTTTGTCCCATTTCCACATCAGTTTATGCTTTTAAAAAGTTCACAATATTATACAGCTAATCAATTGATTAAAATCAACTCTTCCAAATTAGAAGGATCCATGTTAGATCTTATTTTTAAATACAAAAATAAAAATATTATTTAAAAAGTAGAAAATCCTTTCCTTAGAAATTTATTTTAAATCGGAAACAAGTATAAGGAACATTTATGCCATCAACCTCACCATTATGCTCAATTTCCAAATTACAAGAGTTTATTATCTATTATTAACTTTCCACAATCAGGAAATGTTTCTATTTCTTATTTTCTGAAATGTTAAATGGATAATACAAACAACATGATGGAACTCATATGAGCTCATGAATCATTTACCTAGGCCCTCGAGATGACCAAGTATACTGATTTGCAGGTAGTTTCTCTCGCAGCGAGTATTCAGCGACCATCATATCAGGTGATACATATGCACCAACACCTGTAAAATTATATGGCATGAGTTTGAACTATTACCTGCTACAGCTGGTTCTCAAAACATCCTTAATTATTTAAATCAGTTATGCTCATGTTCAATAGTTCTGATCTCAGGGTAGGCATTCTGGTGCCCTCTAGTTATTTTGGATTACAACTTCATTCAGGCCCAGCCAGCAGGTCCAGTGATGAAGAATTATGGAATTTTAGTCCAACATGTCAGAATGGAACCAGACTGCTTACCCCGTGATTTTGAAAATGCAAGACACTGGATATAAAGCATTTTATCTCCTTATGCCTGAATATCAGACTGCTGAAAAAGTAAAGGGAACACACACTACGCTAAGAAGTACTGATCAATTAATAACCTGTTTGACATAAGCACTTCTGAGGCTTCTCTTCAGGCTGGTCCATCTGTTCAATTGTGCCATTTACATCCGAGATAGACATAAATCTGAAGAACACAGAAGCTAATATTTTGAGAACACCCCATTCTTGCAGAAAAGGATGCAGCCAGAATCTCTACAAGCTACTTGGACATTCTTCTTCTCCTATAATGCTAGGATCTAGGGTCAACCAATGAAGCTGAATGGTGGAAGATTTAGGGCAGTTAAAAGGAAAAAATTCACACAGTGTATAGTGAACTGTGGAATAATTACACCACAGAGTGTTGCCAACTGCTGCCAACCTGAATTGCTTTAAAAAAAATTAGACAAATATGAATTCGTGGAGGATAGAAGCTATCAGCTATCTACTAGCCCTGATGACTATACATTATTTCCAGGATCAGAGGCAGTTTACCTCTGAATGTGAATTGCTGCAGAACATTAGCAGCAAGGTGCTTATTATATTTAAATTCTGTTTATGGGATTCCAGATTCCATTAGGCAGATGGCTGGCCACAGTCAACAGAATACTGGACTAGACCAGGCTTTGCTCTGATGTATCAGGACTATTCTTATATTTTATGACTTACAAAAAACCTAACATGGGAATGACTTCAAGAGGTCTGCCCCAGACATTTCTTTCATAGTGGGGTGGTGGTGGTGAGGGCAGTCTTTTGTTTGGTAGTACACAGTATTATTCATTCCAAACACAGTATTGTTCTAAATGCCCAGTTAAGATATTTCATGCTATTCCATGTTCTTAAGATGCTTTAGAGGCTAGCAGATCAGCTATTAACAGTTTGGGGGTCTAGATTTTTGCCAGATTTTACTGCCTAATTTTATTAGAACTATATAAAGCAACAATTTAGAATCATCTGAATAAAAATACTAATGTCCTGAAATCACCTGGCCCCAACAAAATACCAATTCCAGCAATAACCTGTTCACCTGCTCCATGGCACAATGCAAGTTTGATGACAATGATAGTTCTGACAAACAAACTGATCAGCACAATTGGCTTACAAGTTACAGACTACTTACAAAACAGTCATATGCTCCCTGGGTCAATATCCTGGAGACCATAGACTTGGGATTCCTGCTTTTGTGGCAAGACACTCCTACAACCACCGGAGGGAAAATCTAACCCTACCCCATCACCTTCTCAGCTGCTCTAGGAAGCACTGTGCTTTGTTGCACAGCTGCACCTGAGGGCAGGAAGGCTATCAAAAGGAGAAACCAGGATCTGTAGGATCCGATGGTCAGCCCAGCACCTATCCCACTCCATCACCAGTAAGTGACCTAAACAGGCTCAGAAGTCAGTCTATCAGATTCTTCATTTCAGGAAGGAAAAAGAGATGCAATTGCCTCCATCCTCCACTCACTGTACCTGGAATACCCAATCCCATATTTATTCCTGATGGATATTTTGCACTTCAAAACAGAAACAGTGCGAGTCAGAAGGGGTTTCCCGGGCCATCTAGGACCACCCCCGGCTCCAGCTGGCTCCACACATTATCCAGCATGTGCTTGTCCAATTTTGTCTTGAACACTCACTGATGGGGCATCCTGACATCCAACCTGAAACCCAGTTCCTTGAGCTTTGCCCCACTGGACCGCATGCTTTCCTCTACCACAGGGCAAAACAGGTCATAACCCTCTATGATGTGACACCTCTTCACACCTGTATGTCGCTATTAAGATCCCTCGGACTCTCCTCTTCTCCAAGCTGAAAAGCCCCAGTTCCCTCAATCTCATCTCATATGGCATTCCCCCAATCCGTCTTGTGATCCTGCGCTGAACTGATTCCAACCTTGCTATGTCCCTCTTGTGGACACACCAGAGTCTTAGAGAGTAGTACCAGCCCCTCTCTCAATCTGGAAGCCATGCCTCTAGGTATATATCCAAGGCTGATGTTTGACTTCTTAACCACTGCATCACACTGCTGGCTCATGTTTAGCCTGCAATCAAAAAGTACCCCAAGATTTCCTTCACAAGTGCTGTTCTCCAGCCACCTGTCATCCATGCTGTACCGATGGCATCTATTCCTGAGTCCCAAGGGAAAGATCTTGCACTTATCTGCACTGAACACCATCCTGTTTTCCCCTGTCCACTTCAACAGCCTGTCCAGATCCTTTTGGATCTGGAGTACCTGCTCCCCAGGTGTGGCCACCACCCCTACTTTGGTATTGTTCATGAATTTGGTCAGCAGACTGGTTCCTCCAAGTCATTGATGAAGACACTGAACAGAATCAGTCCCTGAACTGAGCCCTGAGGGACTCCACTCATCATTAGCTGCCATCCTGATGACATCCTGCTAATAGTCACCCTCTGCTTGAAGTCCATCAACCATTCTGTGATTCATTGGACAGTACCTTGTTCTATCCTGAAGCTTATCAATTTCTCAACCAGGATGCCATGTGGCACCTTGTCAAAGGCCATGCTGAAATCCAGGTAAACCATATCCACCACGTCCCCTCCATCGAGCCACATCGAAATCTTGTCCTAGAACTCCACACGGTTTGTCTGGCTGGACCTATTTTTGTGGAAGCCATGTTGTGTGGCTGCCAACCCCCCTTCCCTATCTAGGGTTTCTAGAGCTTGCCTTATTTATAGCCTTCCAATATTAGGGAGACTGAAATCTCCCATTATAACCATATCCTTCCCTTGGGATAGCCTTCCAATCTGATCTATCAGATAATCGTCCAGGGTCTCAAGTTGATGCAGTGGGTGATAACATACTCCTACTATCAGGTCCCTGCCCCTGTCTAGACCTGTCAATCTTACCCAGACCACCTCTACCTTCTACCCTGCCCCCTATCTCATTACACCCTATCCCTTCCTTAACATATACAGAGCATACCCTTCTGTGTTGACATTCCAATCCTGCTTATCATCCCGCCAAGTTTCTGCGATCCTCACTAAGTCATACTCTATTCCCAGAAGAGCCTCAAGCTCTTCCTGATTCTTTATCATGCTCCTAGTGTTGATGTACACACATCACAGCTCTTTCCTGCAAACCCCATTTCCTGGCTGCCCCAGCCTCCTTCCTCCCAGACAAGCAGAAACCCTCAGAGCAGTAGCCATGCCAGCCCCTGCCACTTCTGAGAATCGGAAAACCAGATGAGTGGGCAGAAGATGCAGACACAAAGAAGCAGTTAGAGAAGAAAGTGGAATAAGAGTCCATCTTAGTGGAGGCAAATACAGGATTGGGAATACTCACTTATCACCATAATTTATCAGAATTAGATAAGAACAAATATGACTCAGAACAAATTTCTTTATATAATTTAAAATACTTGCCAATCACACTAGATGTGGTTCCTCCAGGACATCCAACAGTGGACAGACAAGGACCATTGTTCCCAGCACTTGAAACATAGATGACATTGTGTTTCCAAACAGCTTCATTAATTACCTCACATATTCTCCTAGAAGAGGCAAGAGAACAGATTAGTTCAGTGGTTCTTTCTGTCTCCCACCACCACCCATGATAAATACTACTGAGATTTACACACTGCCGCCTTCCTAAAGTACATTAGGCAACTGACCAATTTTGCGGTTTGCATCATACTGTCCAGTTCTTATTTGTTACATTTTTGTACCTCCCATCAGCTGACAGACCCTGGAGTATTTCACAACAATTTTGGCAATGAATACCCCTTATGCAGCACCATGACATCATTTTGGGATATAGGAGTTCTCTTGGAAAAGTGGGCAGTTTCATGGTAGTGTCCAAATATTAGCCCCCCAAACTATTACTCCAAAGTTATTAAGAAATGTGGCCAAAAACAATGTTCAGAAAACTCTCCAGCTGACATAGGTACTAACACAGCCAAAAGTCACTGATTAGAGTTGGAGCTGAACCAAAACAAAGACCATGATTCAGTTAGCAACAAAATTTTCTATCATCAAAAAGCAAGCACAAATGAAATATTTAATCATGCATGTCATTCCTCTAGTGTTTCGGGTCAGGGTATTTCAAGAGTGCTGTGCACCATAATCATTCAAGATATTCCATTACCTGATCATACCCAACCCTCCTGCAGTTTTCCTCCCAGTTATCTGTGGCTGGAGGACTCACTGGACTGGAAAACCCAGTGCCCATCTACCAATTTTACAGTAGTTCCCACTGTAATTGCTATCACATAATTATCTCAGGGTGAGTGGGTCTCAACCTTGGATCCTCATAAGCTGTTGGCCAGGAATGTGAGAAATTGCAATCCAACAATATGTTGGCTACAGTGATGACTGCCAACTTGAATAACTTTAAAGGTGGATTAAACAAATTCATGGAGAAGAACAGTAAGGCTATCAATGGCTATATATTACTTTAAGTATGGGAGACAAATTAAGTAGGTCTTTAGTCTGACTGAGAGAGGTTCTTTTTATGTTCATATTTTGATTTGATTTACAATGATGAATAAACAAATACAAATTTAAATCTAAATTGCTGACAGACATTAATGCATTCAATGTATGTTTCCCCTTTACAAACACAAATACAGCTGGAACCCAAACCATGCTTGGTGGTTTCATTACAATTTTCCAATTTAAGAAGTTGTATTTGGTCCTTTTCCTATAATCTGAGAAAAGGGTTTCACAAATATTGCTGGGTATGTATATGATTTGCATATATAATAAATCATTTCATATTTTATAAAATCAGATAATTTTACTTTGCCTTTAGCAAATTTCAATTGGCATGCCAATTTTTTGGTTCTTATGACCCAAGGTGGGAACTGCTACCCCGGTAACCTCACAATGCTATCTTGTTCTCTTCATACATCCCTCCTGCAGCAACCTCTTCACCAAGCCTTCCCCTATCCTAGGCTGACTTCTAGTCCTTGCAAGTGAAATAGCTCAGTGGTCCCAAGCATAACAGCCAAACTCAAAGACGGTGGTCATCTGTGACATATAAGAAAGTAGTAGTCATAAAAATATAGTGTACTCACCCAGCATTTGGCCAGTGGGTTGCTTCTCCATAACTGTAGTTGACAAGGTCACACTTATATTTTATTGTTTCTATCATCTGTTAGAAAGGCAAATAACCATCAGTGCATAAACAGCATCGTTCATTTATACAGAACTCCCACATTGCTAAATAGCATTATTTCAACAAGGACTAGAGACTCCTATTTATAAATGAACATGCCTGTTTCCTTTATTATTTCTTTTCTACAACACAGTCTTCTGTACATCAAAGATGAACCATTTTTCTAGAATTATGAGTGTTCAATGGGCTATCTATGTATTTATAACATTCACTGGCTGTCCGTCACTTTTGTCTCAGGATGGCTTACAATATAATCTAAATCCTAAACAAAATAAATAACTAAATTAATAAACGGCTATGCTGTTTCAAGTCTCCCTTTCAGTGAACAGCATTCCTAGGTTGGTGTTGGCCAGCTGGGAGGGAAGCCTGAGATCAGCACTGCCCTTTGCCTGATGGGTACCACTCTGGTTTCCTTCCCAGAGTCCCATTAATCTTGCAACATCCCAGCACCACTGCTTCCCAAAAGACATCTTAGAGACCTCAGCAAGGAGCAGATGCTTCCTGGATGAGACGTGGTGCCTTGTGAAACATTACCCAGGTAGCTGCTCTTGACCCAGCAAGCACAATGCATTCTGCACATGGTGTTCACTGGTCTGCAGGGGGCACTGCTGCTTCCCAGGCCAGAACTTACATGAAAGCAAGGGGAGTGGGACGAGGGACAAAGTAGGAAGAAGCATAGGAGAGCATGCTGGAAGGGAAGCCCAACTACTGGCTAGGCAATAGGAAAACCTCCAGCCTTTCCTACCGCCAGCCCTCCATCTTCTCACAGCAGCACTGAGGGGACTTCCCAGAAGCTTCAAGCCAAGGGTCCAGAGCCTCCTTGGCCAATGTGCACAACTGCAACGTCATGGCTATGCTTTTGTATGAATTTACTAAGCTACCCCAATAGCATTTTTGCCTGGAAAGTGAACACTGCATCAAAACAAGTATGAGTAGCCACCACCAGCTTGGGTGGAGATGACATGGCATTTTGGACTCGGGGAACTGGCCATCCTGTTATAAATTAAAAACTTTCATGACTCTTCACTCTTTGCCATTAGACCTTCTGCTTATGAGTATTTTTAGCTTGCTGCTGTGTATATTCATGCTAGCCACTTGGCTGCAAACAGTGAAAGCAGTCTAAAGAGTGCAATTGCTTGCTTTCAAGTGCTTAACTGAACTTACGTTGCCTTTGCAGCAAAGGGAGATTTAATGAACAACCCTGGGAGCATTCTACTTGCACTGCCTCCTGGCAGTGTCTTTTTCTGCATGACAGGTATTCTAGAGCTAATACTTACAGCTCTTATAAGGCCCGTGCCAGTTTCCATGGTGCTTAATCTTGTATCACCAATCTTGATTGCAAGAATTTGTGCACCAGGGGCCACACCATTTCGATCTGGATCATCTGGAAAATATCCAGCAGCTATACTAGCAACATGTGTTCCATGTGCTCCTGAAGGAATAAATTAAAAGAAGGAATATTAAAAGAGGAGAACTGATCATTTCCACAAAAAATAGCTGCTCAGTCAGATCCATGAAACAGTCCTGACAGGTTCTTCTATTATTTATTGTCAAAAACCATCTTATTATCACACTTAACATGATAACAGCATGATGTTCCACAACTATACTGTGCCTGCAGTATGTGAAATTCCAAAATTTTGTCTTTTCAGTTTGGTTCACCTGCATAGCCGTCTAAATGGTCACAATTAGTCACTGTGGGTAAAGCAAACTTGGGAGGAGCCCTCCATGCTGAATAAATAAGCACACTGGTACACCCAACCCCCAGGAATTGCCTTGGGGTGGTCAATACATGCTTGAACCATGGACGGATCTACCCATGGACATCCCTTAGCATGCATGCAATGGGATCCTGTGGTCAAGAATAAGACAATGTTGTTATTTGTTATGTTTTCTAATTTTATCGCTTTACTATTAGTTTTCAGGGTAAAGCAAGGTATATATTAAGCAAAATAAAAAAAATACTTAAGAATTGCTCTGCAACATTAATCTTACCTCCACTTGTCACAATCGAGAGCAAATTCCCCTCATCGTAGACATTGACAGAATAATTCAACATCTCTGATGTACCAAAAGATCCATATTCTTGGCCTTCTTTGTAGTTCCGTAGAACAGTGCAGTTAGAAAAATCACCTGTTTCACTTAAATCAATACAAGCTCTATAGATAAAGGAAGAAGCATATGCACATATTATCAGTTTTCTTTTCATAGGTGGTTACAGAGATCTTTTTACATGAGATCTGAAATTCATCTTTTGCAATTTGATAGAGGCAGCAATTCCCAAGCCTAATTCCTAATGATCCCAAAAATGACCACATCAAGATACAAAGCTGATTTCAATTGTGCAAAAAGCTGATAATTAAAAGATGTGAAAGGTCCCTACTCTGCCATAATCCTTGATATCAGCTGACAAAAAAACAAACAACAAATACCTATACCTTTCATTACGCCCTAGCCAGCACAGTTAGCTGGACCATGGTGCAAGCTGTAGGGGGTTTTTTTGGTCTATACATGCACAAGATTGCACTTTTAATGGCTTAGAAACAACCCCCTGTTCCTCCCATGACCCTCCTGCTGCTCCTGATTTCAAATTCCTAACAGAAAGACAGCCCTGGCACACATTTGCCATAACCTCATGTTCAGAAATCACCAAAAAGGGCAACAACCACTTCCCTCCATCAATCTGTGCTTTGTTTAACAATATAATACTGGTTACAGCAGGCAAGTTACAGTGTTAAAACAATTAGTATTCCAATAAGTTCTTTTCCAAGCAAACTCAAAGAAAATAACAGGAAAAGGAAGTGGCAACTCAGCAATTATTTCTAAGCACTTTCGATAGTTCATTGGAATATTTGCAGCAGACAAATCAGATCAACAGGTGAAATACTAACTAGAGGCCTCCAAACCGATTTGGCTGGTAAGTTACAATCAATATGTAATCCCAGCCTGCTCCAGGATACCTGTTTCAGTTCTCTTATTGCCCTTAATAAGGGGAGTTGCTCTAAATATGAGGAGGCCAGAAAGGCTAAGTCATTCTTGATGAGTACCAATTGTGCAAGTACTAAACTTTCACCTCTATGCTCAGTTCTCCTTCTGGCTTAAAAGCAAGTGAAAAGCACGTTTTCCTGCTCTGTAGCAAGTTGCAGAGCAGCAGCTGGATGGAGGAGGGGGGTAGATGATTCTTTTCATTTGTGTGGGCATCTAAGGGAATAAAGTATACCACCTTCCTCTCTTTTTGGAAGCCCTGCCTGCCCCCACCCCCATGCCTCCCCCCATGCCATGGAGTGTAGTGGAAGGCTGAAAACCCAATCCTTTCACTTTGCTGCAAAGATCCTAAGGAAACAGCCCTGTCTCAGCACCCTGAAGATTGTATCCCTGGAAGCCATTCTCTCTCATTCAGGGGAGGGAGGCATGGTCAGGATAATACCCAGCTCAGGTCGTACATGCACTTGGCTGCCAGGCTTCACAGTCACATATCTATTACCACACAGGTGTGCAATAAGCAAAGAAAAAAAAATCACCTCCAGGTTTCACCATCATGCCACACCAAGCAGTCATATACAGGACCAGGATCATTATATTTTTTCTCAAAAGAATTCAACAACTCTACTTGACTCTGAAGCTCTTCCTTCATTAGTTTGCTTTCCTGCAAGAAGAAATACTTTAGAAAGTATACTGAAGTATGCCCCTATCTAGCTAAGGAATCCACACACATATCACTAATATGCTCAAAACGTAAGACAAGAATTGAATACATGTCCAAGTAAGTATGCACTCTCTCCGTACTGAATGGGATCCTCATTCCTTGAGTTCCCCTCCACCTCCCACTGCAGCCAGTCATAGACCTTATAAATCTGGATCACGTCTACAGTTCCAAGATGCAAAACGTATGTCATCAATCACTGTTTGTCAGTTCCCCAGAATTTGCACCACCCAAAAGAGAGCAGCAACTCTCAAAAACCAAACCAAAGCAAAAAGAATATGCACTAAAGACAGACTGTATGCTCTTACTATGAAGCCTTGTACCTAGAGCATCACAAAACATCCCAGAAAGTAGAGCTTAAGGTCTTCTTAGGACATTCTGGAGATGCTCCAGTAAAACAGTTTCTATGGTAGAATTATACAGTCCAATTGCTAAAATCTGAAGTTATGCCCTGTCTAAAAGATCACTAGAGACAGCCAATGTTTCCCACCTGGATCAGGTGGCTAGGGTGGGGAGCCTACCCTCCTTCCACAACATGTGTAATTATCACTGATGTGCATGTGAGAGCTAAAGACCAGGAAAAGTTTCATAAATATCATGCAATTGTGACCACAGTAACAGATTGTCAATAAAAGGTAGCTCTCCTCTTACATATCAACACATTTAAAACTATTTATAAATGTTTTAAGGCACTAGTTAGTGCAAACCTGTGAGGGAGAGCTGTGAGTGGCTTCAAACTCATCTTGCTTCCGACAGGCTTCTGCTAGCACCAACCTATGAACAGGATCCCAGAGCTTTTCCTTGCGTTCTTTCTGCAACAAATGATAAAACTGATTTTAGATTGACATCCTCATGCCATTTAGTACAGACAGGTCTTATGCCACAGTAATTCAAAAAGAGTGAAATGGTCCAGCTCTGTTAATGCTTGGCTTCTAAGAAAAACAAACAAAAACCCTTCCAATTTCTTACAGAAGCAATCAAGCACTAAGCAAGGAAGATGGTCAAACTCCCAGAGTGCTCAGGATGCTAATGCTGGGGCAGCAGGGCTTTCTTCAGTTCCAATTATCCTAGCAGAAGTGGCAAAAGACCATTCTGGGAATCAGCATTAGAGAACAATATTGTCACACAAAATTGGAGTGTGGATTGGTTTCCATTTCACAAGCTATGAGGTGGTGTGGCATGATCAAATCCTGCACCTAGCTTCCTTCTCTTCCTCCTGCACATGTTGTGCTGGTGACCTGTTTCTGCTTTCATGGAAGCTAAAGTTTGGAATCACAACTGAACTGGCCAACTATGGTATGAGTGAGCCCTGCAAATCAAGATTCTTCTGGCAGGATGAACAGAAAACAATCTGTTAGGTTAAACTAATGAGAGATTACATTTAAGAGGACTGTGCAATCACAACATAGGTGAGCCCACAAGAGCCCACACTTGTTCACATGGTACCAAACATGGTCTGGCATTACTTTAGAAAAGAGTCTATTTGAAACCAAAGAATGACAAAGCTAAGGCAAGGGAGTATGAAATGAAAATGCAAAGATACATTACTTGTATTCGTTCCTTAAGAGCTTTAGGATAGAAGTCATAACCATTTTTTAAGCCGATATGATACTTCCCTGAAGGATTTATCCAGTCTGCTGGGATCTAAAAGGAAAAGAAAAAGAATTTAGAAATATACACAATTTTGTTCACTCTTTTCAGCTTAATTAATCATGCATTATTTACATCCATTGCCAAAACCAATGCATATATAGTCCCAAGCAAACCTCACTATGTTTAATCCTACCCTGTGAAAGTATGTATTGACTGCAGAAATAAGTAGATTACTCGTAGGCTTTCACAAGAAATTCAGAATGTTCTCAACCTTTAAGAACACAGGTTGATATTCTCGGCCTGCTCTGAGGAGTTACATTCTTACCCAAGTTTCTCACATGCAAAGGAGCTATAGAAATACTTACTTTCTTCACAGATTTGTTAGGAAAAATGGTAAGTATATGAATGGATCTGCGTTGTATATCCTTTCTTGAAAGTAAACCCTATTTTACTTTACAAATAAACATATGTAGGAGGAGGCATTAAGGTCAGTAATGCCAAAGGACCCTGAAGCACAATACTACACAGCATGATTCAAATCCCTTTAAGAATGCGCAACATACTACATGCGTTAGTGCTAAATATTAGAACATTCTCTCCTATCAAAAGTGCACTATTGCCTAGAATAAATAAAAGACCTCTGGGACTCTATACTTTAAAAAAAAGCACATGACACATGGAGGGTAGAATAAGTTCCCTTTCATTACACCTACAAGACAGGCTGGCCTCCTTGCCATGGAACACAAATTGACTACAAACAAAGATGGGCTTCATGTGTGGAAAAGGCAAGTATTCATTTAACCTTTGGTTTGCTTGATGGATTTGCAGTGAAAACAGCAGGCAAATATCTGGCTATATGCCTGGTTCTGCCCTGGAGGTCCAGTCTCTGTATTGTAGCCACGGGAGCGCAAAAGAAAAGTCACAGCTGCCAAACTGTCCATGCTCTTAAGTGTTTGTTATGATTTATTTATTTTGAATCTGACAACAAAGTTACTGAAATTTTAAAATGCTTCTAAGAGTCCTTTAAAATGGAGAAAATTTTAAAATGAATTTAAACATCTCTACAAAAATCCTAAGAATCTGATTTTTTGCACATAAGACTGAATATTTTCACATGCCTGCATTTAGATCATATAGTTTAATGCACCTGTTGCATTCTGAATTGATTAACCTATCATGCATGTATATACACTTATTTCTTGAAACTGCTTTACTGAACTACAGAAAAAGCTGTGAGTTTAGAGTAAAATACAAATCCCAAATGAAAGCTATAAATACCATGTTCATACTAAAAAACAAAGGAGGACAGAGTTAAAGACAGTGCAGGTTTAAAAAAAAAGAATTCATTAATGAGCTCTTTGAATTAAAATGGTTTTTGCCCATCACATAAGAGCAAATAAGACAGGAACTGGGCCACCGGAGTGTTCTTTAACCTGGGCATCACCACCAAGCTAGCTTAGGTCTATGACCACCACCTGAGCAGACCTATTACAAGAGGTGGGGGCATTCACAAAGGAGTTTCCTCATATAATACAGAAAGAGGCATTCTTTCAGATACATAGGTTCTAGGTTATTTAGCGCACCGAAGGCCAAAACCAGAACTCTGAACTGGGACTGGGAAGAAAGAACTCATGTACCTCTTTTTTGTTATATGGACAGATTTTATATGGTCTTAGCAAGTTCTCATTTTCAACCAGTTAAAATTTATGAAGTGTCCTCAAAATTTCACAGTGGAGCACATAGTTAATCCGACAGTAGAATGGAAAAATGAGGCAAAGTCCAAATATTCCAAAAGAGAATGCAGCCCATGTACCAGGAAAAGGGAATCCAGCTGCTAAGATTTACCATGAATGCTATTAGTGAGGAAGTGAACTGATGTTAAGATTCAAAATATGTGGGTAGAACTGTAAAGCATACCAAATAGATTAGCATCAATACTATTCTTGCATTGCTGAGAGTATTGCTAGCTTGTATTGTCAGATGCATCCCACTCACACAATTTTCACAAACAAACACTTAAGCACAAATTAAAAACAGGAATAGCAACAAAGAATTTTAGTGTGTCCAAAGGTTGCATGCTATTTTATAACACATAACTGGCTCATACTTTGCTCAGGGTCCATATATTCTGCTCCCGAATTTAAACAAGGTTTTTTTTTTTTTTTTTAGGAGACCACATTTTATTCCAAATAAACTTTACCTTCAGGGTTCTTCCTGAAAGACCAACAACTTCGCCATCTTTTGGTTCTACAACAGTTGAAGTGTTTACATCACCACTGCCTGTTGTATCTATGATGTCAATTATCTTGGGTTTCCCATCAGTTGTAATCTAAAACAAAAACAAACACACACAATCTTCACTCCCAGTAAAAGAGTGAACACAGTAAAACAGACAAGATGTAACTGAAAGAATCAGAAACCTTCTATGGGCAACATGTAAGTCTTTTACTTGGTGTGGCAAAACCTGACAGTTTTTTAGAGCAAACAACACAAACGTAACTAACAGTCAGGTGAAAACTAGGTTGAGTAAGGTAACCTATTAAAAAGAACAAAAAACAAAAAAACAAAAACCAAACACCTTTCTAAAGGAGATCTTGTAAAAGGCACAGCTGGGTGGGGATGCAGGTGGGTAAGACAAGCCTCCCTAAGGAGGAAGACACTAATACTGGGAAAGCTCCCTCCCTGGTCCTGCAAAGACAGGCCACTGCAACAGATGGAAAACTTAAGAGGGTCTCCATGGATTATAACCTTAATTAGCAAGCAGACTCATGTGGAAGAAACCAGAAAATATATTAGAACAGAGGAAAAACTGTGGCCAAAAACTAATAGCCAAAGATGTTAATAAACTGTTATTTTCACCAAAATTTACACTGAAGGTTCTATAGCAAGAAATACACATCCACAAGTGCAATTCCCCCCACCACTCTCTCTCTCTCTCTCTCTCTCTCTCTCTCTCTCTCTCTCTCTATATATATATATATATATATATATATATATATATATATATATATAAGGTCCTTTTTCCTTAAATAGCAAGGTGTTTGAAAATGTTTCATTTTTACCTATGACTAATTATTATACACATCAATCCAATAAGAACCTCAGGGAAGCAATATTGGATCAGAGCAAAGGCCTCTCTTTTTCAGCATTCTGTGCCCACAGCTGCAGTTTCTTGTAGAGTTCTGGATAGCAACAGTACCATCCCTTTCATGTTCCCCAGCAACTGATATTTGGAAGCCTGCGACCTCTGATGCTGAGGATACTATAACAATTGGCCATAGCTAGTCTTACCCTCCATGATGCTACTTAACCCCCATCAAAGCCATTTAAGTTGGTGGGAAATGCTATACTCTGTGGACATGAATATCTATAGTTTAACCCAGCAACCATACTCTGAACTTCGTAAGAAACAAGGTTTCCCAGAGGTAAAATTTAACAGTACAATTAATGGATAAAATCAATGATTTTTTAAATGGATATTTAAAATTTAAATTGATTTTAAAAAAATGGATTTTTAAAATAAAAATGTTGAGGAAAAAGCTATCTACAAACAGTTTTCTATTTAAGATACACTATAGTCCCAAGATTATCCAAAGGTTATTCATCATGAAATAAGAATTAGTTTTTAATTATGTAGCATGAGGCTATACATTCATGCAATACTTAAATTCTTTTGGTAAATGAGTTCCATTAATCCATTCACAATGTCATGTTCTTCCAGAGGTTTCTGTAATATTGGGTAATCTTTCTATCAAGAAGAGATTTTCAAAGATGCTTAGGTTTACAGTTCTCAAAACTGTGAATTTGTGTCTGCAGAGATCACATGCCCCTTCTTCACAGCAAAAATATTATGAAATAAACATACAAGAGTTGAGAAAAAGACCTTAAATCTTTTGTTCCTCTGCGAATCTATCTACACAGAATCAACTGCTTGTGTCCTAAGCATTAAATTACAAAAACGTCAATAAATAGACGATTACAGAGAGTGAAACAGATCTGCACAAGAAGCTACATGTGAGGATGGAGGGCCAGGCAGTGTAAATGAAAGTGAAACCTTTGAAGAATGCTTCACAAATCTTTGGATCTTTTTGTGAGCAGCCTAACGTTTATTATATTATTCTTTCCCTGGGGGAGAAAACCTATAATGGCAGCAGGTCATAAAATAGACCTAATTTGAGAATATTTTAGTAGCATTCATCTACCTATGGGTAAGGCAGGCATGTGTGCAAATTATGTAGAAAACCATGGTTTAAATCTAGTCTTCCTGATAAGTGATTTAAAACAAATCCAACCTAGTACAATTACAGTTAGACCTAATCCCAACTCATCCTTTGTAATCATTCAAGATACTTTAATTTCCTTGTATACACTCAGATACAGGGCATTCTTAAGACAAGATCAAAGTCTCATCACCATCATATTGCATTTTATACCCAAGCTTTCTCCTTCTCGAAAGGTATCTCACCAACTTGTGAGAACCACCAGTTTAAACAAGAAAACAGCTTCAGATCAATTAGCTTTATGAACTAAATTAATTAATGTGATCAGATTTAGAACAAATTCCTATACAAAGGTGGATTCTTCACTTTTAATGAACATGCTTGCAAAGGAGGGAGAACGGTCATCGTGAAGGAAGAGATATTATTGAATGTTGGACTAGGATTTGAGAGATCCAAGTTCTAGTCTCTATTCGGCCATGAAGCTCACTGGGTAGAAGCTGACTTAAACCTAGCTCACAGGGTTGCAGTGAAGATAAAATTGACAGGAGACTAATGCGAGCCACCTTGGGTTCCTTGCAGGAAAAAAGGCAAGATAAATGTATAATAAATAATAGAAACCTTATGGAAATGTGTTACATAGTCTTAATATTTATATGTAATATTATAGTTTGTATATTACCCTTAATATTATCTTTTTCACCTGGACTCTACCATTTCTTTCCTTTAATGATATTTCCTTGGGAAATGAATGCACCTGAATTGTGGTACAAAAACTACTGAGAACTTGATGTAAATTGATGTGCATGCATAGTAGGCTTACTTTAAAATAGGCTACTGTGTCCCTATTCACAACAAAAGGCAACAGTCACACTTGAGCTCAACAGAAGCCAATGGGTTCTTGTGCCATTACTATGCTGTGAGACCCACTGGTTTTAATCCAATTTCACAAGGATAAGGCACATTTAGCATGCAGACCACCCATACTTTAAGCAAAACAAATATAAACTCTTTCCTCCTCATGCTCATTCTGAATGAAGGTGTTCCACTAAGATTTAATCCTGATTCACAGACACACTGAATACATTTAAACACAGTAAACATAACCATAGTTACAGCATGTTACCCGATCTCTAGGATGACAGAAATGGTATGCTTTTTTCAGCATGAGTAATTTATCAAAGCAACCTTAAGCTTAAGACTTTTTTGACAATACGTAGCTTTACCTTTATTCCTCTCGATTTTGTATTGTTTTAAATAATCCACATGAGATAAAAGAATTCTGAAAGTGAAATCCCTGAACTTTCATAATTCTGTACAAGATCAAACCTAAGTTTACATAGTTGTCCAACTTCAGTCAAAACTTAACAAATAACATAACAAAACCAACGGAAAGACCTGTAGCACCATCAAAAGATATTTATAGTTCAGATAACCACAGACAAGAGTACTCAGAAAAAAGTTCATACTACAAGACCTTTAGCTTCAAAAGTTACATAAAATTCTTGTCAACTTTACTAACATGGAAAAAGAGGGATATTTTCCTGCTGTTTAATTCTGTACTGAGGAAAATGAATTATCTTGCACACTTTGTTAAGGACCTCACTGTATTTTTGCCTAACCATAAGCTCCTTCAAACCTGCTTACTTACACAAAGCCTTTTACATATAACTGATTTCTTTTTAATTTATTGTCATATTTATATTCCATGACATTTCTTCCAGGCAGTTTACAAGAAATTAAAACCAACAGTGTTTAAAATTGACTAAAGCAAGATATTAAATAAGACTGACATGAGAACTAATCTGGGAAGTCCTGACAAAAGAGATACTTCCTATGAAAGTCCATAATATGGTATAATCTTCTGTGGCATACCATATCCAAAGCAAACCACATCCCCACAGAAAGGGAAGGTAGCTTGGTTCTCTCTAGATGTTTGTGAGTCCATCTAGCACAGTCAATTGTCAGGAATCCTGGTACTTGTGGACCAGAAGTTCTGGAAGGCAGAAGAGTGTTTAGAAATGTTTTAGTCTTTAAAGTTCATCAAGACTTTGGTGTTTTGGTGCAAGAAACCATGAATGGTCCCAGCTCTAGATATACTAAACCTGTAAGCCTTTAATACCAGGAAAATGAGCCTATCAGTGGCCACGGGTTATCATGGTTAAATGCTATCTCCAGTATTTGAGGCGATTCCAGTTGCTAGGGAAGAGCAGAAAGAGGGGATTACTGCTTTCATGTCTTGGCTGTCATCTTCCCACTGGGGGCAATTCGTTAAGGTCTAGATAGGCCTTTGCACTGGTGTGGCAGGACTCTTCCTGTGTTCTTACCTTTTGCTGCTTTTGTGGACTTACTTATCCTCTGCCATTTAAAACTGTATTTTTCAAAAAATCTGGGCAACCCCTTACAGAACCCCTGCTTCTCCCACACTGCTATGTTCCCTTACCTATCCACCATAGGGTATTTACAAACCACTACAGGGATCCTAACCACCCCAACTCAAGCACCGTCTTGCGGAACCACTCATCTTCCACCCCACTGCCTCCAGCAACAATAAATCCGAGTATCCCAAACTTCCTACACTAGCCCGAGTCACGAGGCGGCCGAGGAAAGGGGACGGTAAAGCTAACCCGTCCAATGTGCCAAACAGTACACAAGCAACACATTCCCGTCCTACCTGCATGCCCGGCGCTCCGGGGTCCACACCCGTGTCTAAAATGGCCAGTAACACTCCCCGTCCATCATATTCGGGGTACCGGGAAAGGAAAGAGGCAGCACCGGTCTCCTTCTTGGGCAGGAGCCCTTGAAATGGGAACTGCTCCTCTCCGGTGCCCGCCGCCATGTTGGAGAAGGCGAAAAGAGTGACCAGGCACGCACGCGACACGGAAAAAGGAAGGGGGGGAGAACGGACCGAGTGACGTAACAGCAACCCGAGAAAGGAACGCAGGCGCCTTTCCTTGCAGGCGCATGCGCTGATCCTTAGCCAGCAAAGCGAGTCGGTGCATGCAGGGGAGAGTAGTGGGTGAACTCCGTTCAACGCATTTGCGGGGCTGGTTCAGAGTACGAATCAGTGTACTGGGGAAGGTCATCTTTTATTCCGTGTTGTAGGGGATATTGCGGGTTTTATTTAAGGGGAAAGGAAAATCCCTGCTTGTGTCTTCCCTATCTAGAAAGCGAAATTACTTATTTTTATCTCTGTTCAGTAAAATATAAAGAAACAGTAAAGAGGCAGCCACTACGGTTCCAATACGATTACCAAGCCGTGAGGTTCAATGGGGGAATCTTCAGGCGGTCCCTGCCCTGCCTTTCCCGATCGAGTCTCCTGCAGCTGCTTTAGACTTAACCCTATATAAGCAATTGTCAGGCATGCTTGGGAATTGTAGCCTGAAAATCTGAAGGTTTCACTCCAAACTATGAAAGTCTTTTGGGAGGTAAAATAGGAAGCTTCATGCTGCTCCAAAATTCTCGAAGGAAAAGCAGATACAGATGTAAAAAGTAGACAATGATAGCTTTTAAGACAAAAAACTAGTGATCATTGGTTCTGTGCTTTTTCTTAGGTTTCTGTGTTTTTATTTTATATATTCTCTTTAAATTTTTATGTTCACTGCCAAGAAAACCTTGGGCTATTGGGTGATATAAAAATGAATGAATGAATAGCAAGTGATAACTATACAAAATAACACACATTATAGCTTTAAAATTTAGTGTCCAAAAAAAAGCACATGAGTTTGATTCCAAAGGCCTGGATGAGTGAGGCAAATTTCTTGACTAATTCTTCAGCATAGCCTACAGATGGTATGCCAGCTAAGGTGTAACTTTTGGAGACTGCAAAAATCATTAACTTTCCTTGCTCTGGTTTAACTTGTTTCGTGTATGGCAAGACTGCCTTTTTTGAGACTGTTTTAACTACTGGGACCAGGCTGAACCAAGGCACTCTACTTTTGGTTTGAGGAGCCCACTCAATTGAAGAAAGCAACACCGCTGTGACAAAGATGATATGGTTTATTGATGAAATGCAGATTATGAACAAACAAAAGAAAGCTTACATTCCCCTTCCCTGGGTTGGTTCCCTGAATAGGCCAAGGGATGGCTCAATAGGCCTCCAAAGGTGCCAGGATGAGCAACTGATCAATTCCTCTCCTATAGGCCTAAAAGGAAAGACAGTGCCTAAGGCCAAGTTCTTATCTCTTGCTAGCAGTGTGTTAGTATACATACAGCTGCTTTCCCCACTTTCCCAGCAATGAAGCTGTTTCAGTAAAGGCAGACAGCTTTGTTTTAACTGCAAAGGCAGATCTTTATCTATTGAAAGACTGGGGAAGGGAGCTTCAAGGCAATCATCTCTGATGCTCTTTTGAACTAGCTGAGGTCCAGCAAGTCTTGGCATGCCTTTGAGGAACCGTTTGGCTTTTAGGCACTGGGAACATTCACTACACCTGGTCCTCAATAACCTCTTTGCCATTCTGCCAGTAGATACTCTACTGAGACTAGCCAAGGAAGTTTACAAAAGGCCCAATCTGTAATCAAATAAGGCATAGTAAGAAAATAAAACATTACAAAACGATGACAAGTTTATAAGATTGCCTTGATCTTTGTGGATACAAGAGGAAATGGAAATCATTCACAGCCTGAAAGCAATTCGGCCAAGTACCCATTTTTCCATGCCCAAGAAGCAGGCCACCTAACTCCCTCAACCCTGCTCATACAACCTGAAATAAGGACATATAATCACTGGGCTGCAGTGCAGGGTTTTATATGCTACTCTTCCAGCCTCAGACTGATCTCTATCCTTTAGGTTAGACTATTTTGCAGTATTGTTGTGTGCTACCTGTTCCGCACAAACCCCCAAGTGGTCAGGAAGACTAGTGCAACCTTATACCTGCTTGCTTGGAAGGCTCACTGAGTGAAATAAGTTTCACTTCCAGGTAAATGTGCACACACTCTGTGCATACCATAGTGGCCAACAGACTGCATAAAATGCATATACAAATGATGTAATAGCAGTGGATATGATCCATGATCCAGATGACAATGTCTTTCTTCTTGTTGTTGCTAGTCCCGTCCGACCCATCGCGACCCCATGGACAACATTCCTCCAGGCCTTCCTGTCCACCACCATCCCCCGGAGTCCACTTAAGCTCACACCAACTGCTTCAGTGACTCCATCTAGCCATCTCATCCTCTGCCATCCCCTTCTTCTTTTGCCATCAATTGTTCCCAGCACTGGGGCCTTTTCCAGTGAGTCCTTCCTTCTCATTAAGTGTCCAAAATATTTGAGTTTCATCTTCAGTATCTGGCCTTCTAAAGAGCAGTCAGGGTTGATCTCCTCTAGGACTGACCGGTTTGATTGCCTTGCAGTCCAAGGGACTCGCAGGAGTCTTCTCCAGCACCACGAATTCAAGAATTCAAAGGCCTCAATTCTTTGGCGCTCAGCCTTCCTTATGGTCCAGCTTTCACAGCCATACATTGCAACTGGGAAAACCATAGCCTTGACTATACACACTTTTGTTGGCAGGGTGATGTCTCTGCTTTTTAGTATGCTGTCTAGATTTGCCATAGCTTTCCTCCCCAGGATCAAGTGTCTTTTAATTTCTTGGCTGCAGTCACCGTCTGCAGTGATCTTGGAGCCCAAGAAAATAAAATCTGTCACTACCTCCATTTCTTCCCCATCTATTTGCCAAGAAGTGAGAGGACCGGATGCCATGATCTTAGTTTTCTTAATGTTGAGTTTCAAGCCAACTCTTGCGCTCTCCTCCTTCACCTGCATCAAGAGGCTCTTTAGTTCCTCTTCACTTTCTGCCATGAGAGTGGTATCATCTGCATGTCTGAGGTTGTTGATATTTCTCCCAGCAATCTTAATTCCAACTGGTGATTCATTTAGCCCCGCCTTTCTCATGATGTGCTCTGCATTTAATTAAATAGGCAGGGCGACTGTATATAACCTTGCCAAACTCCTTTCTCAATTTTGAACCAATTAGTGGTTCCCTGTCCAGTTCTCACTGTTGCTTCTTGACCTGCGTATAGGTTTCTCAAGAGACAAATAAGATGATCTGGTACTCCCAACTGTTTAAGAACTTGCTACAATGTCTTAACAATTTTTAAATCTAACATTTAACCATGTGCATGGCAAGGTTTTGTGGACCTAGATCTATTTGCATGCTAAAAGCGTTGAGTGCTCTGTTGAGATTATTGCAGAAACTTTGTGTTTTCTATTAGAATTTTGAGTCTTCCTTATTCTGAATACAGGGCTCTTGAGCCATGGTTACTGGCAGAGAGAAATCATGACTTCAACTGAAACACAGATTTTTACAAAATCCCAATATTCCCCCTTTTAAAGATAAATATGAAAACTTGGATACAGACTTATTCAATACAGAGTACTTTGAAATTAGTAGAATTTAGGTTAGTCACAACCAAATTTCATTTATTTCAATGAATCTGCTATGTATGTCTAAGCCTGGAGCCAACCTCAAATACTTCTATCACTTCTTAATGCACCATCCAATTTCTAAAAGAATATTTTGTTGTTTGCTAACTCATTTGGAAGTACTAATAGGCCTCCTATAGAAAAAGAACCCTTTTGAAGCAGTTTACACAGTTTAATATACAATTATAAATGTATATGCCATATATAACTAAAACAGAATTAACTCCTTACTAATAAAATCCAAACAAGACTAAAGGCAAATACAAACAGTAAAATCATCACACATGGACCAGTTTGCATGTAATTGCAAATCATGGGTTATGAGAATTTATCTAGTGGGTTGGGACCGATGACCTTGATAGGAATCCTTACCTCTTCCTACACATGCAAAGCCAAACAGGTAAGTTTTCCTGTCTTGTTAATCAAAATTGTTTCTCGGCAGATAATCAGGCCTGTTTGGGGAAAGGCCTGTGTGTGCCTTGATCCAGGCTTCATTCCGTTTTTAAAAACAAAACTTGAAAAATTTGAGAGCCAAAATTTTTATTTATTTATTTATTTAAACATTTTTATGCCACCCCATTCGCTGAAGCCTCGGGGCGGCTCACATCATTAAGTTAAAATAATTATAATATAAATTAAAAATATAAATATTAAATTAAAAATACAACAATACAGTATAAAATAAGCCACCCTGGCCAGATAAAACCAATAATGTTAACAGTTAAAATGCCGCTTGAATAAAAAGGTCTTCGCCTGGCGCCGAAAAACAAATAACGACGGCGCCAGGCGGACCTCTGTGAGGAGCGCATTCCATAACTTAGGCGCCACCGCAGAGAAAGCCCTCCTCCAAGTACCCACCCTCCTAATTTCTTTCATGGAGGGTTCCCCGAGAAGGGCCTCCCCCGCCGATCTCAAGGGGCGGCTGGGCATATATGGATGCAATTCTCCTTACAATTACTGATTTCCTTATAAACAAAAGAACACCCTGCATATTGTTTTCTTGAATTGTAACATTAGCACGTGTGCTCTCCCCACGGCACACAAGTATTTTTGGAGTATTTTTCAGCTGAATTTCACACACATGCACTGTATCTGTTTTGGTTTACACACAGTCTTAACATGCATCTTAGAAGTCAGTCCTACTGAGTTCCGTGAGACATAGGTAAATGTGTAAAAGATTAGTGCCTTCATGATCTACTCTGTAAGTTCCTTGCAATGGTTGTGATGTAATAGCTGGAGTGTGAGACTGGGCATCTAGGTTTGATTTTTAGTACTAATTCAGCCATAAAATGCACTGGCTGACTTCACGTTTCACCTAATCTATCTCACAAGGTTGTTGTGAGGCTTGAACAGAAAGATCTTCTAAGCCAAATTGGGGTCCTTGCAAGAAAAAGGGTGAGATTAAACTGTAACAAAACTGATTAAAAAAGCAAGCCAT